GAGTAAATCTTCATTAAGTTTGACCCCACTCAAGACATGACACACAATCCCTTCCTCCCACTCCTTTTAACTACCAAAATTTAATAGTATCAATGGCCCTTATATACAAGTTAACATGCCAAATTTTGCTTCTTAATTGTTATCCCATCCTATTAAATGATATTAAAAAGAAACAGACACCAACATGCACATATTCATGGATTTTTTTTTACTTTTTTTGGGTTCAGGTAGTCTCAAAATGTGAAGACTTGCAAAAAACTTAAGAGGATCAAAATTTGACATAATTCCAATACTTTTCCTGTGTTATTTACAATAACCAGGAAAGTAAAATCATGAAATTTTTTCTTGCTATAAAAAATTTATTATTTCATTTTATTAAGTTTAAAATTAAATAATTTTAAACGTTTATTGTAAAACTTACTTGTTGTAAACTCTAACCACATTTCTTTCCAGAGAGATTGAAGATCTTCATTTTCTTCATTTGATATGAAAAATAAAAATTTTTAATTTAAATATATATTTGCATTAAAAATTAATCATCATAAATAAAACACAAATATGTAATTTAATAATTACGTTAACATGAAAACAATTCTAAGTTCTTTAAAATAACAACTGCTTTGCTGGCATTCACTTTTATTTACAAATTACTCTAGTGCTTACAAACAACCAAGTCAATTGTCAGGAGACATACAAATGAATTAATTTAGTAGCTATCTCCTAGATCTGCACTACAGTCAGATATTACATCAATAAGTGAGAATTTTGGAATAAGAGAAAGAGCTTGGAAACTGCTGAAAAAAAATTATGGATATATGAAAGGTGTTTGACAGAAAAAGTAATCACTGACAAAGATTGTGAAATGTCAATGAATGCCTGGAAATGGCTCATAAATAAGTATTATTGTTAATAAATATGTAGTTTTAGGACTAATTAAGGCAGGACTTCTTTCTATCGAGGGTGAAGTTTTTGATATTTTATGTCCATATTTTTTATTGTTAGTTTTAGTATAGGCTTATTTTTGCTGATGTGAGAAATGCAGTCCTCATACAGTGAGTAAGTAATGGATGCATATAACAAACAAAAAGCATGTAATGAGGCTATAATGGTGCTGTAAGGTTGACTAGGTATCTTTAATTCCTTAACTGACAGACATTGTAAAGATCCAGAACTGAAAAGAATAAAATTGAAAGTTTATATGTGGTATATTTCAATATCTATAATTTTCTTTTGTTTTTCCACACAGTTATATTGAAGATTTTTTAATCAAATTTTAAGTTTAAATTTATGTTTTCACCCATTTTTTTAAGCATTACAGATGGAATGGAGAAATGTGGTTTATTAGAAGTGGAGCACTTAATTAATACAGTAGAGTAAGCATCTGCTTGAACAATGGCATTCTGCTTTAAGATAGTTCTGACAGAGTGACATTATGTAAGATTAGTTTAGCCAGCTGCTTTGCTAAAGAGCTGCAGCACCACCCATTCACTAAATGCATCAAATGTTGCATGTATGGGTAAGTGGGAGGTTGTTGATTATGATTGCATTGATTGACAGAATTTTAAGAATATTTGATGGGCTTTGCTCATATTTTGTTTCTCAAGAAAAATGTCCTGTTGTATTGGAGAAATTGTTTACAGATCCCTGTTTAAAATTATGGTTATCATTTGCAAGATATTAAGTAGATGTATTCCAAATATACACCAGCTTCATTGAAAATATTTCAGTTATAAAAGTAGTAGTTAAGAAAGAACATTTTGTCAAGATATTAGAAGACTGAAGAAGTGAGTTCTCTAACTTCTGATGTCAAAAAAATAGTAAAAGTGTTATACAGATTCAAATAAAAGTAACTTAAGTTTATTGAAGTAGCAGGAAATTTCTACAAAAATAGCCTATAATATATGAACAAAATAGAAGTGCAGCTGAGAAACACTGAGAAATTTAAGTTACTAAGGAAGCTACTGTACCTGAATGGAAAAAAATTCAGTTTAGTCTGAACAAAGACTAATAACAAACTCATGTATTTGATCAGTGGACCTTCATAAAAGATATAATCATGGGATGATTGAATACTTGGAATAAATAAAATATTTCCGCATTTGATAGATGAATTGAAATGTTTTGTAAAATGAGTGAACAATATCTATTGATACAATTTCAGAATTTTTTATAATTTAGTAGAGTTTATTCAAGTGTGGCATTTGTGGAAAAATACTTTCTATTAAAAAATAGCATATAAGGAGAAATCCAGGTTAAGTGTTGAATCAATAAAAGCTGTGCTAATTGTAAGAAAATTTATTGCATAAAGTAAGTTCATCTGAAAAATACATGTAGTATGCTGATGCTGATTAAATATAGCATTTAAAATTAGTCATTAAATATAACAAAGCTAACCTTTAGATGATTTTCCGTGCATGGCAAAAAATACTAGAGGCAATGCTTCAGTCAAATGTCTTCTAAATATATCAGGACTGTGTAAGGCTATTGAATGCATGGTATATACACAAGATGTATGAACATAATCTTCTAAAAAAAGAAAAAAAACATATAATAATTTGTATTTTACACTATTATAATCAATAATATCTCTATCAACTACAGAGATCTCAACCTCTGATTTTAAAAAAAGCTGACATTTACCAATAATGCAGACAACCAAAATTTTAATCAAAACATAGGGGTTTTGACAATTTTGATGTGATTCTCTAGTACAAAATGTACAGAAATAGCAAAATACAGTAGACTTTTGCTAATCTGACCATTCCTTGTACAGAATGAATAACAAGTGAATATATAGGCTCAAAGGCAGTAAATGACTTGACCCATAGCTCTTCAGTACCATTTTTCTTTTGGAGATAGGTGAGCAAATAACACAAAACACTGACATGTAAGACTGCAAGAAATAAAACCAAGTAAACAGGAAAACAGGATGTGTAACATGACTAACATTTTCATAGATTATCACACTGGAGAGTATGCTGAATTATTGAAAGGCTGGATAAGTGGAAGTCTACTCTAAATTATTAAATATGATAATGATATAAGATTATTTTAACAAATCTGTTTTTACTTTTCATCATTTTGTACTTGTTACATTAGCACAGTATATATGTATGTATGTATGTATGTATGTATATATATATATATATATATATATACACATAAATACATATATGAATATATACATACATATAAGTTAATGACAAGCATATATCTATAATTTTGTATAATTAAAGCAAAAAAATTTCAACATTGTCACTTTCTTTGATGCTATACAGAAATTTAAGAAAAATAACTTAGGCAGCCATCCTTAATTTTGCCAACAGCAATCAAATAAAAATTTTAATGCCAAATGATATCAGGCTATATTACTACTACTATTACAAATTTACAACCCCACCTATGCATTTGGTGAGAGAATATTTTTTATTAACTAATGTTTTAGTATATTCCTATAGGCCATCATCGGATTTATTAAAACCATATAAAAAAATGTCCAATGAATAGAACATTCCATTTAAATTTTAACTATATAACAACATCTTGAAGCCCGATGTTTTAATACAAACACAAAGAATCACTATTAATAATTATAATAGCCTGATTATTAATGGCAATCCTTTGGCTTAAATTTTAACCTTTAAAGTATTCTAAATACAAATTTAAATTGAAACAAATTAAATAAATAACTTATGNTCTACAGAATTCCTTGACTGTAGAAGTGATGTCTTGGTAGGAGGGAAATTGCAATGAAAATCTGACCATCATTTGTTTTCAGGACATAATCATTTGGCTGTGAGGAGGCATTATCCAACACCAACATTGCTCTTTGAGGTTAACTTTTCAAGCACAGTTATTTGCAAACAGAAAAACAAAGTGATTAAAATAAACCAGTCTTAATTCATCTGTGTTTTGGCCTGGTTATAATAAGGGAGCAGAAATGTGTCATTTTCCTGCTCAAGATTTCTTAGTTTTTTAGATTTGCCAATATAGACCAGTTTCAATTTGTGCAAACCACTTGGCATTGAAACACTATTTAAGTTATTTGTAGGTTATTCAGTTATTTGATCCTTACTTGACATTTGTCCTGAAGCAATTTTTTCTTTTTGTAAGACTGATGTTTTTGATGGCAAAGTTTTTCAATACAAGACCATCATATATTTGATCAGGTGACAGATCATGAGCCATAACAAGTTGTTTAAATTCCTTTATGTACAGGAAAGCAGCATCAATGTCATCACTTAGTTTCTTCGCCTGAATTTCTAATTCCATGTTAGATTTTGAAGAGTTACAACCATCCTTGAATGATGAAAATGGTTCACTGATCATTGAAACCATTTGATTTTTTCTACTAATAAGAGCTCTAACACTGGATAGGCTATTGCATATTTCTGCATGAACCATGTAAAAACTGTAGTATCCAAGTTGTAAAATTTTGAGTCCTGTTTTGGCTTCTGCCATACTATAAAATGTATCTGATGAAGTCTAAAATTTATTAACTCTGCTTTCTTGTGAATCATGTCCTGCATGGTTTGAATCTCTATGATAAATTTAAGCTATTTATTCCAGGAAAAAATGAGATTAAATAGCATATAAAGGGTTCTCTGCGAGTATGGTTTTGGATTGTGAAAAAAAAAAAGAAAGATATTTTCTTGAGATGTACATATGCACATTTTAACATATCCCTTAGGATAGTACTTATCTAGTTCATTAGCCTAGAGAGGTATTCTTTTTGCAGAAACTGTTGGAACTGCAGATATAAAAAGTACATTGGAAAGTTTTCTAAATTCCTGGAAATCCCTTGTTTTTTATTTCTACTTTGTGCACTTATAATAGGCATTCTCAATGACAAGTCTGCTTTTTCTGAACCTTGCACATAACAGTGGAACACAATAAAAATTATTGCATGGATAATCAGGTACACAGTTAATCAGAACATGAATAATTGAGGTTTTAATGTACTAAAGTTATTTTAATTACAAACTTTTTCATATATATACCTTTCCTTTCCATAATCTTCCTGATAATGCTGAAATAATAAACTGAATAAAATTAAATATTTTCTTATCAACTTTATTTCCAACATTTTTTGCCAATGTTACAAGACATTCAGCAGACTGTTGTTTCATAAACCATGACTGAGATTCAAAGCCTTTCTGCACTAAATTCAATATTTCATCAATATATAATAATATTCCAGATTCAGCACCTGAAATTTAATCAATATTACAGTTTTAATTAAGAACATTCTTATAAATTAATAAAACTTCTAATGTTTAATTATCAATATGTTTAAAAACAATTAATTTTGACTAAGAAAGATGTTAAATGATATTACAAGATAATTAAATAATGCAACAACATTTATTAATCATATGCTATTATTATAATAATCAAAATGCTAAAATTTATTTATTCAGAAGAAGGTTCTATTTGCACAGTTTTTGTGATTACTATAAAAAATAAATGGATCTGCCATTGTTGTTAATAATAATAATTATTATGAAATAGATGTCAACTCACACCTACAAAAATTTTTGTACTTGGAGAGCACTATGCCTTTAGAAATATACAACTAAAAAGTACTGCCCCTGATGTTGACAACATTAATGCCAACATAATAAAATATATATCTGAATTTTTAATAAATAAATCTTTTGACAGTGGCATCTCCAGATAAACTATGACATAACCTTGCAATACCAATTTATAAAAAACAGGAAAAAGATCCGATATAAACAACTACCATCCTATAGCATCATATCCACTCTGGCGAAAATGTTTGAAAAATATTCTATGAGAGAAGAGAACAATGAAAAGTGAAAGAGAAGGAAAAAGAACAAATAAGAAAATATTTGTCATGCATGATGCTTAAATAATTTTGTTTTTTCTGTTTTCCTATTTACTAATGCATTCAACTAAAAAACATCTGAAAAATTTTTTTACTCATGATGTCAAATTGCTAATCTAATTTACATTTTAATAATCATGAATGTAAATAAATAAATGAAAATATAAATATCGAAAGAAAGTTTACTGTCAAAATGCAGTGAAGCTGCAAATGATCTTTTCTTGCTAGCAGACGAGACTATCCGAGCATTGGTTCATCATCCAATAATGATGTTGATATGTTGAATAGTTTAATTAGTAAAGCAGTTTCAAAATCCCTAGCTGATAGTGTCTGTCATATTCAACAAGAGATTTCCGAGAAGATTGGCTCTTTCATTGATAGCAAAGTCAACAAAATATTGGGCACTGCAAAAAACACTATTATGACCAGCTTACTGACTTCCTTCTACACTGGTGTTGCTGCTAGGGCTAACTCGACAAACACCAAAATTATCCAGAAAACAGTCAAAAAACATACACAGTCCAGTGCTGGCACACACGTGGTTCTTGTTTTTCCAAAAGAAAACATTAATATCACTCAGGATGAAATAAGACAAACACTCACTATGAACATAGAGCCTAGTCAGTTAAGAATCTCAGTTAAAACACTCAGGAAAATTAGAAATAATGGAGTTTGCATTCAGTTAAATACAAAAGTTGACAGCAACAAAATGGTGGCTGCCATAAACTCAGTAAAAACATTAACGAACAGGTTAGAAATCAGATATTCGGCAGCCAAACAACCTAAGGTTATTCTGTTAAATGTCCTTGGTGACGCTGTTACCAGCACCTTCATACAGGAACTCTACATCCAGAACACTGCAATAAATACTACATACATACTCCAGGAATTTCAAGACCCTTGCTGTGTTCTAATGAAAATAAACTGCAATACGTGCTGTTGAATTAATGTGTTCCTTTTACTAGGAGTTATCTGAAGAACAACATGTAATCTAGAAATGTCTGTCATGTTGTGGTTTATGTTAGTGTGCAATGGGCAATGATAGCTGTAGATGACTACATTCCTCTCACATGCTGCTACTAATGCTGTGGTTATGGCCATCAAGCTAATAAATGTACAGAAAAACAACACTGTAGTCACTGCAACCACAGCTACAAGTGTGAAATTCCAAAAACAAGTTGAAATTAAACATTTATTATAACAATTTATTAAAACAAAAACTAGAAAAAAACCTCCATTGTTAAAACTGATCAAAGATCAGATCAGTTGTGCTAGTCATATGAAGAAAAAGACAAGAAAAAAAAATTCTATTAATGTAAAGCATGACGCAAATAATGTCCCATCAACATCTTATGTCTAGAGTTAATGGATGGTGTCAGGTAAATTCCCCAAAGTGGACCTTTCTTGTGACCCGAACAGGTCTCATCTTTCACTTAGGGACAGACGAGGGACCAATCAGGGAGCAGGAAAAAGGGGATGTGGACCAATCAGGATAGATAAAAAGGGAAGAACGGAGGTTGATATAATCCCAATCTTCAAGGACACGAGACTCCGAAAAGGTTCCAACGCAAACGGGACTTTTCCAATTTTCAACGTGAGTGTTGAGTGATGACGTCAAATTGTTAACTTCAACACTCACGTTGAAGTCAACAATTTGACGTCATCAATGATGTTCCAACTCGAATACAAAGTGCTTAGTTCCCATAATTCCATTCTCAGCAAGATGGATTCCATTCAAATGTCTTACCAATTACCCACAATTCATTGGAAAGTAGCAGTCAACATATCTGTTGAGTGCTGAGTGTGTTGAGACAGCGCTGACAACAGTGCCACTTCAATGTTGAAAAAAGGAATGACTTTTAATGAATGTTGAGATCAGTGCTGAGTCAGCATTGAAAATTGGAATGTTTCGAAAAAGACAGCATGTGTCAACAGACTGTCTTTTTAGGACGAAGTTTTCCGTCTTCATGCCAATACTGAAGCTGTGCTGCTGCCGATGCCAACTAATGGAGTCTCCCCACCTGTCTCACGAACTGTTTAACAACACTGCTCTGGGGCCACCTGTGACGACAAACAAGGAAAAGAACATTGACACTCAGGAAGTGAAATACAAGACAACATTGACACTTGGGACTTCTGAACAGCTAATTGTGTTCAGAAATATTTGTTTTGTAGTGTAAGTTTGTTTTATGCTAAAATAAACTGACTTTTTTGTAAGATACTTGTTATCTTGTCTCTTCCGCCACACCCACACGTGAACATCCGTAGATCATCCTGACATGGGATTAACAATCCCTCTAAAACTCGACTGGCTAACTTACACAAGGTTTGCCGTATCCAGAGTCAGGAACCATGCTGTGATAATTGTGCAAAGGCCAATAACACTCTACTAGAAGGGAGCAAACACAAGACCATGCATAATGCATTCTCTTAACAGTGTCCCATGATCAAATGCATGAATACACAAGCTGCCAGTAGGGTCAGCTATGAATAATACACCCGTACACAATACAAAAATAGGTAGCTATAAACTCATATAGATTAAAATGTTAACTGCCATCTGATGTGCCAGCGATCGTACTAGTTATGGCCGTACAGAGCCATCCGACTGCTCGACGTCATATAACCAATGTAGTTTCACTCAAGGTTAAATTATAAAGAGCTTCATAAGACGTTGTTTTACATCCTAGTGGTGGCCTCTGGCGGACATCTATAAAAGTGGCTCCGACCTCTGGTTGTTGTATGGCCTCATGAAGTTATTCGACGTTGTAGTGCTTTTTTAATAAAAATCTATTTTATATCTGATAGTGTTTTTTTTTTAATAGTAAATAGTTAAAAAAAAGGGAAAAAATATCAAAAACTAGTTCAATTATTCTCTTTTATCACACACAAATTTTAGAATGGCAATGACAAATAAGGATTATCACCGGGTTGAAGCGAGATAACGCTGTATATTTGATTTGAAAACATAAAAAAAAATTAACAATTGTAAAAAGGGCAATATTACAATAAAAGACAACAAAATTAATATTTGGTCCATGAGAAATCAAAGTGTGTTGAAGGATGGCATCATGTAAGCTAGAAAAAGAAAAGATATTACTGCAAAGCAAAAATTTATTAAACAGATATAGTTCTAATTGCACAAGATTATTAGCAGTAAAATGCAATTAGTGCAACCAAGATTTATTAAATAAACTCCATTGTTCTATTTTATCTTTTTTTTTTGTTGACAAAGTATTCATCTACATTTCACTTTACAGAACCTTAGTTAAACAAGTTTATATTAATGATATTAATATATTAAAATCCATTCGAGTAGAATGGATTCTCCATTAATATAGACTTGTTAATATAGACTTAATACTCTATTTTGAACACAATATTTCTTTCAATTATTAGATTGATAAACAAAAACAAATAAAGCAAATTCCTTTCAAATTTCAATTTTTTTCATATTTTAAATAGAAATTGATAATAGAAAATGTTGCACACAATGCACATATCACCAAATTATTTGTGAGCTGAAATACTTTACACATATTGCAGTTTGTCCATGAGAAATAAAGTAATCTGCAATTGTCCAGTATGCTTTGAACAAACTGAAAATTGTATATCACGATGAGTAAAAACTGAAATAAAAAGTTATTTTAGACTTTACAGCTGTGTGCTGGATAATCCTAGGATCACTAAAGCACCAGGCTTTGATTATGACATTTATAATGTACAGTACATTAAATAGTCCCAAATTTGTAGACAATGTATAATAACACAATTTGTAATTAATTCAATAAATTTGTACATAAAATCTATCTATATTAAAGGATCTATGATGAAAAGATTTACCTTTAAGAATTTGTTTCTTTGGTAACAAATGTTATATAAAATATTTTTATATAATAAAATATATTAAAGAATATAACAAGAAATGGTATTTTATCTTAAAGATCACAAATGTTCAACAAATTTATTCTCATTTATATATTATACATTAATAGCATGCATTTTTTCCCTGAAAATATTTTAATTTGTTTATTATATAAAAAATTTAATGAATAAATTTACTATTTCTCTGGATTTCAGACAATGTAAGCTATGTTTTATGCTTCTATTTTAAGGTAATTTTATTTTCCGATCATTTGATCAATTATTGTATTAGGATTTTAAAAACTGCAGTGATACAAACCAATTTACTTTTTTCTTTTTTTAAAGTTCTTTAAGTTATAAAATTTTTGAATTTTAAAATTTATTTAAGTTATTGGATATTTAAATTAGTTGGTCCTGTAAATTTATTTTATATTCAATTAATTTTTTGAATCATTAATCTATTGTGTTTTTTTAAAATATGAACATCTGTGCCTAAAAGATAAACTGGACTATTATTTCATTGATTCTTCAAATATATTAATTTCTTTTGAATATCAATAAAACTACAGAATCGAATATCTGTTGAATCAAATTTTTATATTAAAATTAATAAATAATTTTTTACAGTAGAAAAGTCATTGATTTTTCTTACTTATGATTTAACAGTATGAATAAAAATATAAAACTGATAATTAGCATATTATAAAAGCACTGACTATACTCATCACATTTCAAACAATATAGAATTTAAAGACAGAAGAAACAGCATATCAAAACATTGTGAATTTTTAAAATTTTATCTCATCACATGAAAAATACCCCAAATACACTCCAAAAGATCCAGTGATAAGTTGCATAACTTTCCTGACAAAAAATACTAAGATATATTAGCACAAAATTGAAATTGTTTGTGACACCATCTCAATGAAATTTTGTTAAATAAATAACTTTTATATTATTAATTATTATAAAATGGCAAAAAGCTTAAAGTTTATAGTAAAGATGGGTTTTATAAAAAATTGTAAATGTTAATACTGAGTAAATCTTCATTAAGTTTGACCCCACTCAAGACATGACACACAATCCCTTCCTCCCACTCCTTTTAACTACCAAAATTTAATAGTATCAATGGCCCTTATATACAAGTTAACATGCCAAATTTTGCTTCTTAATTGTTATCCCATCCTATTAAATGATATTAAAAAGAAACAGACACCAACATGCACATATTCATGGATTTTTTTTTACTTTTTTTGGGTTCAGGTAGTCTCAAAATGTGAAGACTTGCAAAAAACTTAAGAGGATCAAATTTGACATAATTCCAATGCTTTTCCTGTGTTATTTACAATAACCAGGAAAGTAAAATCATGAAATTTTTTCTTGCTATAAAAAATTTATTATTTCATTTTATTAAGTTTAAAATTAAATAATTTTAAACGTTTATTGTAAAACTTACTTGTTGTAAACTCTAACCACATTTCTTTCCAGAGAGATTGAAGGTCTTCATTTTCTTCATTTGATATGAAAAATAAAAATTTTTAATTTAAATATATATTTGCATTAAAAATTAATCATCATAAATAAAACACAAATATATAATTTAATAATTACGTTAACATGAAAACAATTCTAAGTTCTTTAAAATAACAACTGCTTTGCTGGCATTCACTTTTATTTACAAATTACTCTAGTGCTTACAAACAACCAAGTCAATTGTCAGGAGACATACAAATGAATTAATTTAGTAGCTATCTCCTAGATCTGCACTACAGTCAGATATTACATCAATAAGTGAGAATTTTGGAATAAGAGAAAGAGCTTGGAAACTGCTGAAAAAAAATTATGGATATATGAAAGGTGTTTGACAGAAAAAGTAATCACTGACAAAGATTGTGAAATGTCAATGAATGCCTGGAAATGGCTCATAAATAAGTATTATTGTTAATAAATATGTAGTTTTAGGACTAATTAAGGCAGGACTTCTTTCTATCGAGGGTGAAGTTTTTGATATTTTATGTCCATATTTTTTATTGTTAGTTTTAGTATAGGCTTATTTTTGCTGATGTGAGAAATGCAGTCCTCATACAGTGAGTAAGTAATGGATGCATATAACAAACAAAAAGCATGTAATGAGGCTATAATGGTGCTGTAAGGTTGACTAGGTATCTTTAATTCCTTAACTGACAGACATTGTAAAGATCCAGAACTGAAAAGAATAAAATTGAAAGTTTATATGTGGTATATTTCAATATCTATAATTTTCTTTTGTTTTTCCACACAGTTATATTGAAGATTTTTTAATCAAATTTTAAGTTTAAATTTATGTTTTCACCCATTTTTTTAAGCATTACAGATGGAATGGAGAAATGTGGTTTATTAGAAGTGGAGCACTTAATTAATACAGTAGAGTAAGCATCTGCTTGAACAATGGCATTCTGCTTTAAGATAGTTCTGACAGAGTGACATTATGTAAGATTAGTTTAGCCAGCTGCTTTGCTAAAGAGCTGCAGCACCACCCATTCACTAAATGCATCAAATGTTGCATGTATGGGTAAGTGGGAGGTTGTTGATTATGATTGCATTGATTGACAGAATTTTAAGAATATTTGATGGGCTTTGCTCATATTTTGTTTCTCAAGAAAAATGTCCTGTTGTATTGGAGAAATTGTTTACAGATCCCTGTTTAAAATTATGGTTATCATTTGCAAGATATTAAGTAGATGTATTCCAAATATACACCAGCTTCATTGAAAATATTTCAGTTATAAAAGTAGTAGTTAAGAAAGAACATTTTGTCAAGATATTAGAAGACTGAAGAAGTGAGTTCTCTAACTTCTGATGTCAAAAAAATAGTAAAAGTGTTATACAGATTCAAATAAAAGTAACTTAAGTTTATTGAAGTAGCAGGAAATTTCTACAAAAATAGCCTATAATATATGAACAAAATAGAAGTGCAGCTGAGAAACACTGAGAAATTTAAGTTACTAAGGAAGCTACTGTACCTGAATGGAAAAAAATTCAGTTTAGTCTGAACAAAGACTAATAACAAACTCATGTATTTGATCAGTGGACCTTCATAAAAGATATAATCATGGGATGATTGAATACTTGGAATAAATAAAATATTTCCGCATTTGATAGATGAATTGAAATGTTTTGTAAAATGAGTGAACAATATCTATTGATACAATTTCAGAATTTTTTATAATTTAGTAGAGTTTATTCAAGTGTGGCATTTGTGGAAAAATACTTTCTATTAAAAAATAGCATATAAGGAGAAATCCAGGTTAAGTGTTGAATCAATAAAAGCTGTGCTAATTGTAAGAAAATTTATTGCATAAAGTAAGTTCATCTGAAAAATACATGTAGTATGCTGATGCTGATTAAATATAGCATTTAAAATTAGTCATTAAATATAACAAAGCTAACCTTTAGATGATTTTCCGTGCATGGCAAAAAATACTAGAGGCAATGCTTCAGTCAAATGTCTTCTAAATATATCAGGACTGTGTAAGGCTATTGAATGCATGGTATATACACAAGATGTATGAACATAATCTTCTAAAAAAAGAAAAAAAACATATAATAATTTGTATTTTACACTATTATAATCAATAATATCTCTATCAACTACAGAGATCTCAACCTCTGATTTTAAAAAAAGCTGACATTTACCAATAATGCAGACAACCTAAATTTTAATCAAAACATAGGGGTTTTGACAATTTTGATGTGATTCTCTAGTACAAAATGTACAGAAATAGCAAAAAATACAGTAGACTTTTGCTAATCTGACCATTCCTTGTACAGAATGAATAACAAGTGAATATATAGGCTCAAAGGCAGTAAATGACTTGACCCATAGCTCTTCAGTACCATTTTTCTTTTGGAGATAGGTGAGCAAATAACACAAAACACTGACATGTAAGACTGCAAGAAATAAAACCAAGTAAACAGGAAAACAGGATGTGTAACATGACTAACATTTTCATAGATTATCACACTGGAGAGTATGCTGAATTATTGAAAGGCTGGATAAGTGGAAGTCTACTCTAAATTATTAAATATGATAATGATATAAGATTATTTTAACAAATCTGTTTTTACTTTTCATCATTTTGTACTTGTTACATTAGCACAGTATATATGTATGTATGTATGTATGTATGTATATATATATATATATATATATATACACATAAATACATATATGAATATATACATACATATAAGTTAATGACAAGCATATATCTATAATTTTGTATAATTAAAGCAAAAAAATTTCAACATTGTCACTTTCTTTGATGCTATACAGAAATTTAAGAAAAATAACTTAGGCAGCCATCCTTAATTTTGCCAACAGCAATCAAATAAAAATTTTAATGCCAAATGATATCAGGCTATATTACTACTACTATTACAAATTTACAACCCCACCTATGCATTTGGTGAGAGAATATTTTTTATTAACTAATGTTTTAGTATATTCCTATAGGCCATCATCGGATTTATTAAAACCATATAAAAAAATGTCCAATGAATAGAACATTCCATTTAAATTTTAACTATATAACAACATCTTGAAGCCCGATGTTTTAATACAAACACAAAGAATCACTATTAATAATTATAATAGCCTGATTATTAATGGCAATCCTTTGGCTTAAATTTTAACCTTTAAAGTATTCTAAATACAAATTTAAATTGAAACAAATTAAATAAATAACTTATGAAAAATATAAGGTTAACAATAAATAAAAATAAAGTTAAAAAATATACAAGGTTAACAAAATACAAATAAATATGAGAATAAGAAAAACATATAACAACCTATATTGTTATAGCTCTCACAAGAGATGCAAACACATTACCTTCAGCCTGAAAACACATCATTGAAAAAAAGATTTGGGCATAAAAACCCCTGAATTATGTGTCCTCCTATAATCATATTTGGCTTGTGTGTTATACTCTCAAACAGTTTTTATTATATTTTTCTTATTACAGTTTCAATACTTCAAATACCTTATAATTATTGTATTTTATCTTACAAACTATCATAATTTTTTATTTGACTGTAGAGAAAAATATAAAATTTGATAAAACTTTTGTTATTAAAACTGAGTGTAACAAGAAACAATGCTTTTAAAGATTTATAATTAGAATTGACAAAAAAGTAGACAAATACTGAATAAAGCAGACAGAACTTTACTTTATTAGACAAATTCTGTTATCATTAAATTGAAAGTCTCTGATGACTTAATAAGAACTGAAAGCAGAGTTGCTTAAAGGAATAAACTGGTTTATAACAAAATCACCAACAAGTGTTGAAAATCTTGTATAATATGATTGTTTTAAAAAATTAAATTCATATTCTAGTATTTATTATTGTTTAAAAAAATTTNGCCACACCCACACGTGAACATCCGTAGATCATCCTGACATGGGATTAACAATCCCTCTAAAACTCGACTGGCTAACTTACACAAGGTTTGCCGTATCCAGAGTCAGGAACCATGCTGTGATAATTGTGCAAAGGCCAATAACACTCTACTAGAAGGGAGCAAACACAAGACCATGCATAATGCATTCTCTTAACAGTGTCCCATGATCAAATGCATGAATACACAAGCTGCCAGTAGGGTCAGCTATGAATAATACACCCGTACACAATACAAAAATAGGTAGCTATAAACTCATATAGATTAAAATGTTAACTGCCATCTGATGTGCCAGCGATCGTACTAGTTATGGCCGTACAGAGCCATCCGACTGCTCGACGTCATATAACCAATGTAGTTTCACTCAAGGTTAAATTATAAAGAGCTTCATAAGACGTTGTTTTACATCCTAGTGGTGGCCTCTGGCTAACATCTATAAAAGTGGCTCCGACCTCTGGTTGTTGTATGGCCTCATGAAGTTATTCGACGTTGTAGTGCTTTTTTAATAAAAATCTATTTTATATCTGATAGTGTTTTTTTTTTAATAGTAAATAGTTAAAAAAAAGGGAAAAAATATCAAAAACTAGTTCAATTATTCTCTTTTATCACACACAAATTTTAGAATGGCAATGACAAATAAGGATTATCACCGGGTTGAAGCGAGATAACGCTGTATATTTGATTTGAAAGCATAAAAAAAAATTAACAATTGTAAAAAGGGCAATATTACAATAAAAGACAACAAAATTAATATTTGGTCCATGAGAAATCAAAGTGTGTTGAAGGATGGCATCATGTAATCTAGAAAAAGAAAAGATATTACTGCAAAGCAAAAATTTATTAAACAGATATAGTTCTAATTGCACAAGATTATTAGCAGTAAAATGCAATTAGTGCAACCAAGATTTATTAAATAAACTCCATTGTTCTATTTTATCTTTTTTTTTTGTTGACAAAGTATTCATCTACATTTCACTTTACAGAACCTTAGTTAAACAAGTTTATATTAATGATATTAATATATTAAAATCCATTCGAGTAGAATGGATTCTCCATTAATATAGACTTGTTAATATAGACTTAATACTCTATTTTGAACACAATATTTCTTTCAATTATTAGATTGATAAACAAAAACAAATAAAGCAAATTCCTTTCAAATTTCAATTTTTTTCATATTTTAAATAGAAATTGATAATAGAAAATGTTGCACACAATGCACATATCACCAAATTATTTGTGAGCTGAAATACTTTACACATATTGCAGTTTGTCCATGAGAAATAAAGTAATCTGCAATTGTCCAGTATGCTTTGAACAAACTGAAAATTGTATATCACGATGAGTAAAAACTGAAATAAAAAGTTATTTTAGACTTTACAGCTGTGTGCTGGATAATCCTAGGATCACTAAAGCACCAGGCTTTGATTATGACATTTATAATGTACAGTACATTAAATAGTCCCAAATTTGTAGACAATGTATAATAACACAATTTGTAATTAATTCAATAAATTTGTACATAAAATCTATCTATATTAAAGGATCTATGATGAAAAGATTTACCTTTAAGAATTTGTTTCTTTGGTAACAAATGTTATATAAAATATTTTTATATAATAAAATATATTAAAGAATATAACAAGAAATGGTATTTTATCTTAAAGATCACAAATGTTCAACAAATTTATTCTCATTTATATATTATACATTAATAGCATGCATTTTTTCCCTGAAAATATTTTAATTTGTTTATTATATAAAAAATTTAATGAATAAATTTACTATTTCTCTGGATTTCAGACAATGTAAGCTATGTTTTATGCTTCTATTTTAAGGTAATTTTATTTTCCGATCATTTGATCAATTATTGTATTAGGATTTTAAAAACTGCAGTGATACAAACCAATTTACTTTTTTCTTTTTTTAAAGTTCTTTAAGTTATAAAATTTTTGAATTTTAAAATTTATTTAAGTTATTGGATATTTAAATTAGTTGGTCCTGTAAATTTATTTTATATTCAATTAATTTTTTGAATCATTAATCTATTGTGTTTTTTTAAAATATGAACATCTGTGCCTAAAAGATAAACTGGACTATTATTTCATTGATTCTTCAAATATATTAATTTCTTTTGAATATCAATAAAACTACAGAATCGAATATCTGTTGAATCAAATTTTTATATTAAAATTAATAAATAATTTTTTACAGTAGAAAAGTCATTGATTTTTCTTACTTATGATTTAACAGTATGAATAAAAATATAAAACTGATAATTAGCATATTATAAAAGCACTGACTATACTCATCACATTTCAAACAATATAGAATTTAAAGACAGAAGAAACAGCATATCAAAACATTGTGAATTTTTAAAATTTTATCTCATCACATGAAAAATACCCCAAATACACTCCAAAAGATCCAGTGATAAGTTGCATAACTTTCCTGACAAAAAATACTAAGATATATTAGCACAAAATTGAAATTGTTTGTGACACCATCTCAATGAAATTTTGTTAAATAAATAACTTTTATATTATTAATTATTATAAAATGGCAAAAAGCTTAAAGTTTATAGTAAAGATGGGTTTTATAAAAAATTGTAAATGTTAATACTGAGTAAATCTTCATTAAGTTTGACCCCACTCAAGACATGACACACAATCCCTTCCTCCCACTCCTTTTAACTACCAAAATTTAATAGTATCAATGGCCCTTATATACAAGTTAACATGCCAAATTTTGCTTCTTAATTGTTATCCCATCCTATTAAATGATATTAAAAAGAAACAGACACCAACATGCACATATTCATGGATTTTTTTTTACTTTTTTTGGGTTCAGGTAGTCTCAAAATGTGAAGACTTGCAAAAAACTTAAGAGGATCAAATTTGACATAATTCCAATGCTTTTCCTGTGTTATTTACAATAACCAGGAAAGTAAAATCATGAAATTTTTTCTTGCTATAAAAAATTTATTATTTCATTTTATTAAGTTTAAAATTAAATAATTTTAAACGTTTATTGTAAAACTTACTTGTTGTAAACTCTAACCACATTTCTTTCCAGAGAGATTGAAGGTCTTCATTTTCTTCATTTGATATGAAAAATAAAAATTTTTAATTTAAATATATATTTGCATTAAAAATTAATCATCATAAATAAAACACAAATATATAATTTAATAATTACGTTAACATGAAAACAATTCTAAGTTCTTTAAAATAACAACTGCTTTGCTGGCATTCACTTTTATTTACAAATTACTCTAGTGCTTACAAACAACCAAGTCAATTGTCAGGAGACATACAAATGAATTAATTTAGTAGCTATCTCCTAGATCTGCACTACAGTCAGATATTACATCAATAAGTGAGAATTTTGGAATAAGAGAAAGAGCTTGGAAACTGCTGAAAAAAAATTATGGATATATGAAAGGTGTTTGACAGAAAAAGTAATCACTGACAAAGATTGTGAAATGTCAATGAATGCCTGGAAATGGCTCATAAATAAGTATTATTGTTAATAAATATGTAGTTTTAGGACTAATTAAGGCAGGACTTCTTTCTATCGAGGGTGAAGTTTTTGATATTTTATGTCCATATTTTTTATTGTTAGTTTTAGTATAGGCTTATTTTTGCTGATGTGAGAAATGCAGTCCTCATACAGTGAGTAAGTAATGGATGCATATAACAAACAAAAAGCATGTAATGAGGCTATAATGGTGCTGTAAGGTTGACTAGGTATCTTTAATTCCTTAACTGACAGACATTGTAAAGATCCAGAACTGAAAAGAATAAAATTGAAAGTTTATATGTGGTATATTTCAATATCTATAATTTTCTTTTGTTTTTCCACACAGTTATATTGAAGATTTTTTAATCAAATTTTAAGTTTAAATTTATGTTTTCACCCATTTTTTTAAGCATTACAGATGGAATGGAGAAATGTGGTTTATTAGAAGTGGAGCACTTAATTAATACAGTAGAGTAAGCATCTGCTTGAACAATGGCATTCTGCTTTAAGATAGTTCTGACAGAGTGACATTATGTAAGATTAGTTTAGCCAGCTGCTTTGCTAAAGAGCTGCAGCACCACCCATTCACTAAATGCATCAAATGTTGCATGTATGGGTAAGTGGGAGGTTGTTGATTATGATTGCATTGATTGACAGAATTTTAAGAATATTTGATGGGCTTTGCTCATATTTTGTTTCTCAAGAAAAATGTCCTGTTGTATTGGAGAAATTGTTTACAGATCCCTGTTTAAAATTATGGTTATCATTTGCAAGATATTAAGTAGATGTATTCCAAATATACACCAGCTTCATTGAAAATATTTCAGTTATAAAAGTAGTAGTTAAGAAAGAACATTTTGTCAAGATATTAGAAGACTGAAGAAGTGAGTTCTCTAACTTCTGATGTCAAAAAAATAGTAAAAGTGTTATACAGATTCAAATAAAAGTAACTTAAGTTTATTGAAGTAGCAGGAAATTTCTACAAAAATAGCCTATAATATATGAACAAAATAGAAGTGCAGCTGAGAAACACTGAGAAATTTAAGTTACTAAGGAAGCTACTGTACCTGAATGGAAAAAAATTCAGTTTAGTCTGAACAAAGACTAATAACAAACTCATGTATTTGATCAGTGGACCTTCATAAAAGATATAATCATGGGATGATTGAATACTTGGAATAAATAAAATATTTCCGCATTTGATAGATGAATTGAAATGTTTTGTAAAATGAGTGAACAATATCTATTGATACAATTTCAGAATTTTTTATAATTTAGTAGAGTTTATTCAAGTGTGGCATTTGTGGAAAAATACTTTCTATTAAAAAATAGCATATAAGGAGAAATCCAGGTTAAGTGTTGAATCAATAAAAGCTGTGCTAATTGTAAGAAAATTTATTGCATAAAGTAAGTTCATCTGAAAAATACATGTAGTATGCTGATGCTGATTAAATATAGCATTTAAAATTAGTCATTAAATATAACAAAGCTAACCTTTAGATGATTTTCCGTGCATGGCAAAAAATACTAGAGGCAATGCTTCAGTCAAATGTCTTCTAAATATATCAGGACTGTGTAAGGCTATTGAATGCATGGTATATACACAAGATGTATGAACATAATCTTCTAAAAAAAGAAAAAAAACATATAATAATTTGTATTTTACACTATTATAATCAATAATATCTCTATCAACTACAGAGATCTCAACCTCTGATTTTAAAAAAAGCTGACATTTACCAATAATGCAGACAACCTAAATTTTAATCAAAACATAGGGGTTTTGACAATTTTGATGTGATTCTCTAGTACAAAATGTACAGAAATAGCAAAAAATACAGTAGACTTTTGCTAATCTGACCATTCCTTGTACAGAATGAATAACAAGTGAATATATAGGCTCAAAGGCAGTAAATGACTTGACCCATAGCTCTTCAGTACCATTTTTCTTTTGGAGATAGGTGAGCAAATAACACAAAACACTGACATGTAAGACTGCAAGAAATAAAACCAAGTAAACAGGAAAACAGGATGTGTAACATGACTAACATTTTCATAGATTATCACACTGGAGAGTATGCTGAATTATTGAAAGGCTGGATAAGTGGAAGTCTACTCTAAATTATTAAATATGATAATGATATAAGATTATTTTAACAAATCTGTTTTTACTTTTCATCATTTTGTACTTGTTACATTAGCACAGTATATATGTATGTATGTATGTATGTATGTATATATATATATATATATATATATACACATAAATACATATATGAATATATACATACATATAAGTTAATGACAAGCATATATCTATAATTTTGTATAATTAAAGCAAAAAAATTTCAACATTGTCACTTTCTTTGATGCTATACAGAAATTTAAGAAAAATAACTTAGGCAGCCATCCTTAATTTTGCCAACAGCAATCAAATAAAAATTTTAATGCCAAATGATATCAGGCTATATTACTACTACTATTACAAATTTACAACCCCACCTATGCATTTGGTGAGAGAATATTTTTTATTAACTAATGTTTTAGTATATTCCTATAGGCCATCATCGGATTTATTAAAACCATATAAAAAAATGTCCAATGAATAGAACATTCCATTTAAATTTTAACTATATAACAACATCTTGAAGCCCGATGTTTTAATACAAACACAAAGAATCACTATTAATAATTATAATAGCCTGATTATTAATGGCAATCCTTTGGCTTAAATTTTAACCTTTAAAGTATTCTAAATACAAATTTAAATTGAAACAAATTAAATAAATAACTTATGAAAAATATAAGGTTAACAATAAATAAAAATAAAGTTAAAAAATATACAAGGTTAACAAAATACAAATAAATATGAGAATAAGAAAAACATATAACAACCTATATTGTTATAGCTCTCACAAGAGATGCAAACACATTACCTTCAGCCTGAAAACACATCATTGAAAAAAAGATTTGGGCATAAAAACCCCTGAATTATGTGTCCTCCTATAATCATATTTGGCTTGTGTGTTATACTCTCAAACAGTTTTTATTATATTTTTCTTATTACAGTTTCAATACTTCAAATACCTTATAATTATTGTATTTTATCTTACAAACTATCATAATTTTTTATTTGACTGTAGAGAAAAATATAAAATTTGATAAAACTTTTGTTATTAAAACTGAGTGTAACAAGAAACAATGCTTTTAAAGATTTATAATTAGAATTGACAAAAAAGTAGACAAATACTGAATAAAGCAGACAGAACTTTACTTTATTAGACAAATTCTGTTATCATTAAATTGAAAGTCTCTGATGACTTAATAAGAACTGAAAGCAGAGTTGCTTAAAGGAATAAACTGGTTTATAACAAAATCACCAACAAGTGTTGAAAATCTTGTATAATATGATTGTTTTAAAAAATTAAATTCATATTCTAGTATTTATTATTGTTTAAAAAAATTTCAAATACCTTCTTTCTCTAAATACCATACTTGAATTTTTCCAATTACTTTATTTACACTACTTTCTTTTGAAACCTAAAAAAATTATTCAATTGTTTTAAAATACACATTTTTAATTTAACATTATACATGTTAAATTTACATAAACAATTTTTACACTATTGTGAATTACAGAAATAAAGTTTATCTTTAAACATTCAAAAAATAATAAGTATAATATACTTAAAATATAAATAAATAAAAATATTTGCAAATAATTATATTTATTAGTTAAACAAGAAAGAATTATAAGAATATACATCTACAAAGTTAGAAATACGTTAAAATATTGATAATAAAATAAATACTGTAATGCATAAAATACATTAAAATTTATTCTTGAATGTTTAATCAAAATAAATCATTACCCTCACTAAATGTCCAATTGCTTTAGCATAACTTCTTCGTACTGCACCATTTCTATCATTAAGTCCACTAATAAGGGCACTTAGCAATTTTCCTTTTAAAATAAATATATTTATATTTTAGTATAAATAAGTGAATGTATAAAAGATGTGAGAAAGTATTAATTAACTTTTAAATGTAATTGGCTAAGTATAATAAAAAAAATCTTAAGCCATAGACTTAAAAATCTTCTGGTTGGAGCTCACTAACTTATACCAAGAAGATGATATTTGATGTAAGCATAAGGGCCATTGAAAGCTTATATGGGGCCTGCAGGTAGAGTGGACCCTTATAGCTATTTTTTCAAATGAAAGTTAACAGAATCTAAAATTTCATTCTGTTATCAGAAAACAAATTTGAACAAAATGCAATAATGTAAGATACCTGATATTACAAAATTAATAAGATAATTAAAGTTTTCGTATTATTTTTGTTAATTATAATGATTATTTACCTGAATATTGTTGTAGTTCTTGAGGACATTGTAAAGTTAGAGTTATTATAAAGTTAGCACAACCACTCTGTAAAAATGAAAAAATTTAATTTTAACTTCATATACATTATTATGATTTTAAACATTGTTATACAAGCATATTATAAAATGACTGATAATTATTTCACATTGTATATCCCTTATTTTTTTATTTAATCTATGCATATATGTATTATGCTACACTTCATTTTAATCAAAATATGCAATTCAATTTTTACCAGCTAAAGTGCTTTCAGGAAATTAGTATGAAGATGTTTTATCAAAGAGATTCTGTAAATTTATGCAAAAAAAAAAAACCTATATGATAAATTATAAATTAAAAGATGAGTGAAAAAAATGCTTAATTCTGGAAACCAAATTAAATTTTTTTCAATAATGTTTTCATTCTTTTATAAGTTCATCATCAGCTGTGAAAATTAGCAAATGCTTTAGAACAAATACATTTGAAAGAGAAAACAATCTCTAATGCAAAAGTTTTATTTCTAAATTATTTATTTTATTAATAATTATTCTTAACATAAGTGGGATGTAATGTCTTTACAAGTTCTTATGATTCTTATTTTTCAATAAATCAAATTACTTTGTTGGATTAAAAAAAGCTTATTTTGATAAAATTCTTGGAAAGTACATTTTTGAGATTCTGAGAATGTCAGGAGTAGCTCTAAAACACATAGATTCCATAAGTTCATGTCATTTCTAAATATTCCATTATCTCAAAATGAATGAAAAAATTTTACATAATGTATAACGAAATCAAGAAGTCACAATGCAATAGTCATTAATAAACTGCATTTAATTACATATGTACTCAAGAAATAAGATTATTTACCAAATCCATAAATATTTTTTGTCTGTCTAATTGAATAAACCTGATTAACCTGATTATTATTTTATGAAAGTGTATTGTTCAAATGTATTTTACAATGAAATTGTTTCAAAATGATATCAATACAAAGATTGAATATCTTACCTTTGTTCCTAATGCAACAGAGTTTCTAATCAGATCAGTAAGACGGGGTACTAATTCCTTCAATATATCATCATCAATGTATTGCACACACTGAAAATGATTAATTATTAAATTAATTCAACTTTTTAAAAAACTTATAGTGTAAAAAAGTTTAAATAATTGTCAAAGTGATAAAATCTGTTAAATAAAACTTAAAAGCACATGTTTATAAAAGACTTAAAGATTTCACTTTTCTTATTTTTGAGTTCTTGTTGGTGTATCTTCTGGATATAAAATTCCAAAAACATTAAACATTAACATAAATATTCCATAATACATCCTAAAGAAACCAAACTAATAGTAATGTTAGACTTATGTCAATTATAAATTTATGAATAAAACACAAATGAATTAAAAAATTAATCAGATTTCTTCTTTAGTTATAAGACATTTTTCCAAACATTTTTTATTCATCACATTGAAATCTAAATATTTTCAACATATTTCACATTTTAAGTTCATTTTTAACTCATACTAACAGATTTCACTCCAGAAAGTAGTTTTCTTGTTTTTGAGTTTGATTGAGTTAAGAAAACTCCAAATAAAAAAATTTTGGAATTATACAGATTAAATATTTTTCTAAAAAATAGTTTTAAGAGTAAATTCTAGTTGAAAATTGAAATTAATCATTAAAAACAACATATACAGACAAAATCCAAATTTTATTAAAAAAAAGTCAAATATACAGGACAAACAAAACCTGATATTAAGCAAATATACACCTGCAACTGCTGTAATGATCGAACTAAATTTGGATATAACAATTATAAATTAGAAATGAATTTATCACTAGAGTGAGGTGTTAGCACCATCTCATATTAAAATTAATAATTATAATATTTAATTAATTAATTTAGATTAAACTGGAAAAAAATAATTGGCCCAAAGCAGGACTTGAACCCACAACTCCCACTTACCGTGCAGATGCATTTCCAGTTACTAGTGCCAAATTCATTTCTAATTTATAATCATTATATCCAAATTTAGCTCAATCATTTACAGCAGTTGTGGGTGTATATTTTAAAAAAGTCATTAAAGAAAAGACTTTAGAATGCAAGACAGATATTAATATCAACAGAAAAGACTTAATTTTAGCTAAACTAATACATTAAACCTTCTCTAAATTGGAACCCTGCCAAAATGGAAAAAATATTCAATAGCACACAATTACCCAGTTTAGACAGGTTTTACTGTATTAATAGAACAAACTGAATCAGAATGATTTAAAATTAATGTTATATATCCATCAAAAGATATTAAAATATTATTTTTAACAGAAATAGTGTTAATTAGATTAAATAATTTTTATAGTCTGTCATTATACTTATTAGATATTTGAAATTATATTTTTAAAAGTATATTTTGTTCAATTTTGAAATATAGTAATACCTCGACTTACGCTACCCTGACTTACGCGATTTTCAAATCTCGCTGATTCGTCTTTTGTTTGAGTGCCACGCAACTCTTGATTACTCACTTCCCCCACACTATTGTTCAGCTTACATGTTCGGATGTGTCGTTCATAATCGACACATAGCTACAATTTATTTTGTGTTGTTTATTTCTGTGTTTGTTATATCTACGGAGACTTGAGAGACTCTATGTGGTGATTTCTTGTAACCGTGAACGAATCAAAAGACAAGATAAGATTAACGAGAACATTTATTAGCTTACATACATCTGACTTGGATTTTACACAAATTGTGAAATTATACCCCGACTTACGCGGTTATCGCTCAGTCCCACCTATCGCATAAGTTCAGAGTATTACTGTATATAAAAAATTTTTTGTTAATTTTTATCTATATTCTATTAATTAATTTTATTTTAATTTTGTATTAAAATATTTATGATGTTTATAAAAAGCTCAAATGCACACAAATATTCAATTCTGCATTTTTTTGTTATGATAAAATCTTCAATAATGATAGAATAAAGATATCTCTTATTTGTTTAAAATTTTAAATTGTTTATGTATTTATTTTAAAATATTATTCTGATATGCATATTATACATTTTAAAAAATAATTGTTAATTTCCTTATGATCATAAAGTTAGCACATAAAAATAGATGTAAATATTTCTTTGATATTGGATGGTACCATCCAATAATGAAATTAATGAATTTCTCATTGAAAATAAAGATATTGATTAACATCCAATGATTTGCCTAAAAGATCTTGCTACAATTTGGCTAATTAAATAATTAACCTTTCAGCAGTAGCATAGTCAGGCATGATGCTACCTCAAAGTAGTGGAGAATAAATGTGGGAAATTTTTAAAGTATTTTTCCATGCGTTTTTTCTCATTACCATTTCGGAAAAAGATTTTGTAAACAGTCTAGTAAAGAAAAGTCTTTTTTATTGTTACATAATTCATTTTTTATGTGAACTTTTTTTTGTGGTAGTTTTTGGCGATATTCCCAAAAGAATTTAATGGATATATTCTTTTCTCACCACTGCCACACGATTGCCCTGGACGAATATATCTGTCCTTCACTTAATACAAAGTTAATACAAAGTAATTTATTTAATTAACCAAATTGTAGCCCAATCATTTAGGCAATCATTGGATGTTTCAATATTGGGCTTTGCAATGTCTGTTATATTTAGATATTGATTAAGATAATTTTAAAAATTAATTATCATAAAATAATTTGTAGACTATCAATATAATTTGTGGGGTTCCAGACGAGGTTCGAACTCGAGTAAACTGTGAAATTCTTGCGTGACACAAAATGTAAACAACGAGACTCGGAACGGTTCGAGTATGTGTCAAACTATCTGTCAAGGTCTTAGTGGAAGACAAACTCTAACACGAGCGCTCATAAACAGGTAGATCTTTGACTCGCGTGTCTATAAAATGTTGGCTGAGATAAACCTTTTTGAACAAAAAAATAGGGGAATTTTTGATAGATGAAAGGTGAAAATGATCATTAAATTCTTAGACGTCAAGAAATGGTAAACAATGGCCTGAGTTATGAATGCAGGTGTTATTGTTTTATAGACAGTGACCGAGCAGAGTCGACAAAGAGGTATCAGATGGACACCTCAAATCGGACCTTTCCCACAACCCAAAAAAGTTTTGTCTTGCACCTGGAGACAAAGGAGAGACCAATCGTGAAGCGAGGAATGGAACGAGGGACCAATCCGAAATGCGAACAGTGGGGGAAAAACTATAAAAATTGGAACTTCAAGGTCGAAAGAGAGTCTCCTCTGGATTAAGCCTATCGTTGTGATTTAGATTGTGTTGTGCAACCACCGATCACCCAGGACGCCGCAGCTTAACAACGAACATCTGTATCGTTCAGTGATCCTTCTCGTCCACCCAGGCTGCAACCAATCACCCGAACTTTCACTGTTCACAGGAGCACCAAGATTTGGAATTGTCCAATATCGATGTAAGCATGAATTCGAACAAATAAACGGGTTTTCTTTTGTAAAACACTTGTTCTTCATTTGCCTCCTCTGCCACAATCCACATATGCAGTTTCCCTTAGGCTCATTCTCACGTGAGATAAATTGTTTCCCCCTTTAACTTCGGCAAACTTACAAATTTGAGTAGAATCCATAAATATCATTTTTATTATAATTTAATTTTTTTAAAACACATTATAAATATCAATAACTTGACATAAAAAATTAGATAAAGATTGAGTAAGTTATACATAATAAAATGCATACATTTTATAAAATAACACAACAATTTATAACTTACAAAATTTATGGTTTCCATCATTGGACTTTTCTGGAACACAGAAACTCTTTGTATATCAAGCTAGAAAAAAAACAACAAAACATATTTATTTAATATGGCATTACTAGAATTATAATCATTCTTTTTTAAAATATAAACTTAATAACTGTAGATTAATTAAAACATTTTTAAATTTTAGTTTATCATATGTGGTACAGTTGCAGTCATAGTACTATCTTCTCTTACAATAAATATAATTAAAAACTAGAAATATTGAATCTTTTGTATTTTAAATTACTACGAACATTAATATTGTTTATTAAAAATTATTTTTTTGTTGAGTTCTTTTCCTTTATCAGATTAATGGTAATTGAGACTAGACAATGGCAAATCTCAATTAGCATTAATCTAATAAAGGAAAAGAACTCAAAAAAAAATAATTCTTAATAAACAATGTCAATGTTCTCAGTAATTTAAAATACAAAAGATTCAAGATTTCTAGTTCATAAAGCTAACAAGCTCCGTTAGAGAATACCTTTTTAACTTTAAAATCATTTTTTTCATACATGCCAATAATGCAAGAAATTTTATATAGTTATATAAAATTTTACAAATTTTTATATTAACACTATCAGCAATAATTTTGTTACTTTTGTAGAATTTAATTCCCAATCATCATTGCCCAAATTATGTAAATTAGTAGCTAAAATGAGTTAGCAGTCAAAGTATAAAAATCAACTATATTTAACACAATAGAAATAAAAATTAATAAAATAATTATAAATAAAATTTCTTATGCTATCTCATAATCTTGTATCAGAAATAATGAATACACCCAACGTTACTGAACTGGAAAGAAACTTGTTTCTCAAAATATTTCTATATAATCATTAAATATTGATAAAATCAACAGATTAAAAAAATATAAAAATTATCTAAAGAAGACCAAAATTGCAAGTTAAAAACTTTTGTATTAAAATGGAATAAACTTACTTTTTCTTGATTAGATTCATCCAGTCGATTGCTTAAATAATTGATGACATTAGGCTCATTAATACTAAGAGCTTCTAATAATGCTATAAAAAGCAAAGGAAGATGAGGTTTTAACAGATGTCCAGCTTTCTTACTAATTTGTACAATTGTAGATAAACTGAAAATATTAACAATTTTATTAGTACCACAAAAATACTTGATAGTAAATACTAATTGTACATAAAAGCACAGCAGTACAAATTATAGAAAATATAGATAGTTGTGTGATTTTATTATTAAAAATTTTTAATTTTATATTGTTATATATAAAGTAACCAATGTTTGAATTATATTAATCATAAACCAAAAGAATTGGATTATTTTCAGACTTAAGAAGTACTATTAATCTAGAGAATTTGATCTAGAATAGTTAGTTAAGTAACCATCTTATAACAATAAAAATTAAAATTTTAATACAATTTTTAAAATTTTACAAAATTTTAGAAGGAAAGATTGATCTGGAGCATAGGTCAAACTGATATCATCTGGATACTTTGCAGACATGTTGCTAGTTATATCTGGACTTCTATTCAATTCTGTGAAATCCGTGATTTTTACGCCGATGTCAGAAAAATCTTTGTAAACAACTCCGAGGAAAAACCCATTCTTGGTGAGAAGTATATCGGAGGTCACCGATTGTTTTCACATTAAGATGGGAAAGTTGACACTTAGTTGATCGGAATGCACCGTAAGTGTCAACAGAAGTTGATCACGTGACTCATTTCCCACAAATAACGTATAAAAGCTCAAGTCCCCCGGAAGCTCCAAGCAATCCCTCGAAAGTTATACTTGGTAGATGTGCCATATTTGTCTCCATACTCCCGACCGAAAGGACATACGACCAACCACAGCCATTTAAACTTCCATCGCCATTAACGAACATATTCAACAAACGCATATTAGACATATCCGCATAGAGGTATTTGTACTTTTTAGAGCTTTGTGAACTCTCTCTCAGACTAGCATGTAAAGCTATTAGAGCGTCCCTTTTGTATAGTGAACTTATTTAATCACATTTAACCTATGTATCCTAGCTTATTTATATAAATAAATGCTTGTTTAGTTTTTAAACCTGTCTCCTGTCTCTGAAGGACACCTGCTGACTTACCGACGCACTCCCCACTCAATTTTTTGCTCTCCTAGCCATCCGACAAGCCGAGAACGGGTTTTACCAACCTGTTGCAGAGTAAGTGGTCATTTGGGATGAGCCCAGTGGCCCACTGCTAATCTCACAATTCCCTTCCAAACATATATATGCTTTAGAATTATTACATAATCATACAGGTTGGATATCATCATGCCAACTGGGAACTTCTGTAGACCATGGCTCTCTATATCTTTCAGCCATCTACTAACAATTCAGACATTCAATACTTATACATATAAAACAACCAAAACCTAGATTATAATAATGACAAACCAAACAAATTCGGTTATTTTTAGGATATAAAAAGAGAGATTTCTTATAGTTTGAAAATTACTTGATTTATTTGACTTATGAATATATATTAATGGTTGACATATAATTTGTTATTAAGATAATCATCAGGTTTAATTTTTGTAGATGTTTGTTTGCCAAGATGTTAGAATGTTTTGAAGGTAGGAAAAAATATTCTGTTTTCTTTTTTGCTTAGTGTAAGAATACTTTTTTTTTTAAATTAAAAAATAAGTTCAGATTTTGATGATTGACTATTTTAATAATTATGTTTAATTACTTTAAAATTTAATTTTGCTTTGTTAACATGCCTATTTTTGACTCATTAGTGTGTGCATATTGTCTTAAATACAGTATCTTTGAGATAAATTTAAAGAAATTAACATTTTATTTACAAATGTAGATGCAATAATAAATAAGAAAGAAAAAAAATTAAATTTACTAACATATTGATTCCTTTCTTTTTTTTAAATAAATGAAAATGCCAGCATTTGTTGTTTTATTTCACGAATCTGTCTGCTTTTAAATATTTATTCAATTCTGAAATATGATGTTCTAAATTTAAAAGTCATTTTATCTTTTAAAGTTTTTAAAAAGTAAAACATAACAAGCAAAACTGTTAAAGCAATACTTTGCATTTTCATTCTTAAAACCATTTTTCCTTCTTTTGTTATCTATACTAATATAATAAAGAGGTAATGTTTGTAAGTTTGGATGTAGTGGGTAATCTCTAAAACTACTCATCTGATTTCAAAAATTCTTTCACCAATATTTAGAATGGAACTTTAGGGTAGAAATAGACTGTATATTATTCTGATAAACATTCATATAAATTAAAAGATATCATCTAGGTTAAGGCTTTTATGATCAACAGATGGCGCTACGAGTACAACAACCTAAGTTTGCTTTTCTGGATGAACTAAAGATCATCTTCTATCTATCTATATAAATAAAAATGTAATGTTCATTTCTTCCTACCGATTTTTTTGAAATTTTGACACTACATTGTATTCGAATACGCACGTGTTTTTATATAATATACATGTCGAAATTCCCCCCACTGGGGGGAGATGGTTAGGATTAAGGGTTACTGTAAAGACCTCTGCTTCTATTATACTATTTTACATGTGGTTTTTTGCGTTTTTGATTCTGTTTTAATAGGGTACGTCAACAGAATATACACTAAGATAGGATTTTTTGAAAAATTCCCCCGTGGAAAAAGTGTTATACATTTATANAAGAAAAAAGATCATCTTCTATCTATCTATATAAATAAAAATGTAATGTTCATTTCTTCCTACCGATTTTTTTGAAATTTTGACACTACATTGTATTCGAATACGCACGTGTTTTTATATAATATACATGTCGAAATTCCCCCCACTGGGGGGAGATGGTTAGGATTAAGGGTTACTGTAAAGACCTCTGCTTCTATTATACTATTTTACATGTGGTTTTTTGCGTTTTTGATTCTGTTTTAATAGGGTACGTCAACAGAATATACACTAAGATAGGATTTTTTGAAAAATTCCCCCGTGGAAAAAGTGTTATACATTTATACAACAACGCGTGGCAAAATCTGCTAGTTGCTTATAAAAGGTATTGTAAATATTCTGTTGGAATTAGGAATTATGTAAATAAATTGTGGTCTGTACTTCAAATTCCTATAAAAAAATGTTTCATCTTACATGTTAATTTTAATAGTATTAAATATTTAATATAATAAAAATCAATTGTTTCAATTACCAAACATTAAAAAGTGTATTTCTAATTTCTTACATGTTATGATTTCCTTGCTTTTATAACTATCTTGCCACTGATTCTAAGTTTGTACTTACAAAATTAGTATTAATAATTAAAGCAAACTGGATTATTTATTCAGTAATTATGCCTAATTATTTTGTTTAGTTAGCTAATATAAAATTTTTTAAATTACCTTATTTCTCTGATTTCTGCCAAAGAACTCATCAATCCAGATTTCACAAGGACTGGTAAAATGGTAGTTAACATTTTCTCACTACTTTTTCCCAAATTTACATCACAAAATTTAATACAAATCTAAAAGAAAATATATAAAAAAAACTTAAATTCTTCAACTTTATTAATAAACATCTGTGCATTTATTTTAAAAAAAAATTATTTTTTATTCATTATCTTAAACTAAAAAAAAATTCATATCAAAATTTTGTAGAGAAGTTTTATGACAAAATGTTAATATGCTGAAGACGATGATAAAATCCATTTTGCTATTTTATCTACTTGTTGATTACTATGTAATTTATTTAAAAAAAATTAACTTAACAACTTAATTTCTATAAAGTTGTTATGAAATAATAATCTAGTTACCTCTAATGACAAAATTTGTTTCATTTCTAATTTTTATTTTTTTTTATTTTATTAATTTCATTTCTTTACAACTCATAAACCTAGTTGTATCAAGTTGTAAAGATGAAATTTAGACATTTCAATTTTTTCTATAAATAATTGGAAAAAATTGTTCTAGAACAATCAATGTGAGTNAGTGCGAGACATCGGTCCAGGGTTAGATTCAATACCTCCAATTACCAATAAAGCTCGTAATAATAAATATACATCAAAATCTTTAATGAAACCAAGATGAAAAACCAGACATTTTGTAGAAGCAAACATATCCAAAGCACTTTAATTCAATAAAAAACAGCTCACTCAAAAACTCACCAACACTGACGAACGTCGGAAGCGCCCCCCTATATTAAAATATGTAAAATTTAAAAGTAATATTTGTCTTAAGGAATTAAGATTAAGATACTGTATTTATCTTATTCTTTGAAAGTGCAGAAGAAGACAATGATTGTTTTTTTTTTTCCTTGACATTATCATGATAAAGCTATTTCCAACCAAGATCACTGCCTTCAAAGAATTATACTGTGAACAACTGGATTGCTTGAACACCAAGATCAAAGAACTTTGTCAAAAAATTGACAAAATCTGATACCACAACAACAATGCACCAACACATACAGCAAAGATGACCTTAGACAAGCTGGTCAGTCTGAGCTGGGAGGTTCTGTCTCATCTACCTTACAGCTCAGACCTTGGCATCAATTGATTACCATCTATTTTGTGCCCTGCAGAACCATATTGCCAATATACAGTTCAATAAATATATAGCCGAGATTCAAGGCTTTCTTCAAAGATAAATCCTAGTCATTCTATGTTCAAGAGATTGAAAGTTTGCAGCAAAGGTGGTGAGATTTAATTGATATTGACAATTACCTATCAGGCTAAATGTAATCATTATTGAGTTAATGGTCAATAAAGTTTTTTTTGAAATGTATAAATTTTACTTTTATAACCTGATATTAGTCACTTTACTGCTTTTAATTGGTATTTATATTGACAAGACTATGTCTTGTTTATAAAATTGTATTGCCTCATGTTCTTATCAGCATAGAGGTATAAAGGAGTACACATCGAGAGTTGATATTTGGCACAGAGTATTAGGTGACCAAATCATTTGCGCATAAAAAATCCAGACTCGTAGGTAGTCAGGGAACCGAGAATCGAATCAAAATAAAATACAAAATGGCGACCCTCTTCTACAAACAGGCAAAACAGGCACCTCACCCCACCGAAGTCAGGTAGGGGAGAGTACCACCCGCAGTCATTCTAAGAAGTGAACTCTAACCTTAGGATTGAGGGCACCTGTGTGTGACCTTCTCCCTTTGACCTCGCTTTGCTCCTAAACTCTAACGAGGAGAAACATCTTTTTACTACCTTTTGATTCAACAGCCATGCTGATCTTGGATTTATACTATATATTGACGTTGTTGTAAATATCTGCCGATACAAATTAAGTAAATTATTAGTTTCTCAGTAAATTTTTAATGACAGAACAAAAGACAGAACACGTGGTCGAAGTCACGTGGTCATCAGGGACAAGGTAGGAGAGACATCTTTTCACTTCACGTTAATTTAACCGCTTCTGAGCCGCGCTCGAGTGTGACTCGAGCAAGTTTTATAGCGTTACGTAAAAATCGGTCGTTAAGGCCACTTTTGAAAAAATTATTTTTTTTTTGAATTTTTGGAATGTTTTTTAGGTCCCCAAATTTTTTCAGAATTTTTTGCGCGCGCAAAAAAGTTTTATCGCGATTTTAATGAGCCTTTGATAAGGCTCGATTAAGGCTTAATGTTTTTTTAATGGGAGTTTTTTATCAAAATTAATTTATCATTCTAAAGTTGTAGTGCACCGATTTTCCTTCGGTAAAGTTATTTAAAGCTGCTTTCTGATGTCAAAAACGACTTCCGATAGTTTTTTAATTTTTTTAATTAATAGATTTTATTATATAGAAGTTTAATTAATTAGGGGGGGTCGGAAATCGCAATAAAAATTATAATTTTTTTAAAATATTTAAAAATATACCGCCAGATTGAAGTCACCCTACTTTAAACCCTTGTCCTCCCGCGATGTCTATGAGAATGTCCCGGGAAATCCGACTCCAGCTGTGTTCAAGGTCATCCAGATGTGTAAACAATAACTCATCGGTGTTAAATTTCACAGAAAGGCGAGGCAAAGAAAACTAAATGATGAAGCTTTTTAACCAAAATTAACGCATTTTTTTCGTTTTTTTTTCAGTTTTAAGTATTTTTTATGCTTAATTAAAAATTTTTTTTTTTAAATGGACAAAAAGGGATTAATTGACAAGACTATGTCTTGTTTATAAAATCTTACTGCCTGATTGATGTTCTTACCAGCATAGAAGTACGAAGGAGTACATGTCGAGAGTTGATATTTGGCACAGAGTATTAGGTGCCCAAATCATTTGCACATAAAAAATCCAGACTCGTAGGTAGTCAGGGGACCAAGAATCAAATCAAAATAAAATACAAAATGGCACCCCTCTTTTACAAACAGGCAAAACAGTCACCTCACCCCACTGAAGTCAGGTAGGGGAGAGTACCACTCACAGTCATTCTAAGAAGTGAACTCTAACCTTAGGACTGAACACATGGTTTCTTCTATGTTAAATAAAATTTGTAATCTAATTTTGTAAATTTGGGAGTGCTTCAAATATGACATTAAAACGGTTTTATGTCATTACAAGTGAAGTTTTTTAAACATTATCTAGTATAGTAAAATTGTGAGACCGATAAAAGTTTGACGTTATATTAGGGTTGTCATTATATCCAATGATGTTATAATTGGGTTAAACTGTATATTGTTTGTACAAAATAAAAAAATAATTTTGGACGATACAATAGCCACGATTATTTTTTTCAAAAATGGGAAAGTTTCGTTACACATCAACAAAAATTCAAACTGGGCCAACATGCAACAGAGAGAAATTTCCAAATTGGATAGGTTAATTTCATCGAAAATCCATCGTGGCCTGCGAAGTTTGAACGATTGTACCCAAAAGCAGCGATACCAAAGAAGATTGGAGAATGAGAATGAGATCTGCCTTGAGGGTCAAAGTGATTCCGCTTAGTAGTGAGTCTCCGAGAGATAGTCTTGTCCCAAATACAGTTTTGCCGTTTTACTTGTTTTTTTATTTAAAAATATTTAAAATTTCTCTAGAACTTTCAGGTTAAGATCTGGGATATCTATCCAGAAACTTGAAAGCACTAGGAAAATCAGAAATGTGATTAATTAAACTAATGTAAAGTCCAAGTAAGCAGTAGAGTGAGTAATACAAACACATTTATTGTGAAGCTTTGTTGAAATTATTTCTAAAATTTAACAATTTGGTTTATTTTTTAATTTGTTTGGGTATGTTAATGTATTGTTTTCCTACTTCCCTTAAAGATTTGCTTCAATCTTCAATAGATATACAAATCATCAGTCTGAAGTTCTTCAAAATAAAGATTATTGAATAAATTTTATCATTAGAAAAAGAACGATCAATATTTTAAAATTTAATTATTAAAATTTGTGATCAATATAATTAGTAAATTAACCATGATTATAAATACAATCAAATGTTTATAAACTATTATATAATTAATAGAAAATTCCATACAATTGCTAGTAATAAATATTATCTGCGGTTCTCTTAAAAAAGTAATAATGAAATAATTTTCCTTACTTAATTTCTAGTAGATAAAAGACAAATAACATTTATCATTAATAATTTTGTATCATTATTATATAAATCTAATTCTATCATAGATTAATTTTAATGTATTTAGTATTTTAAAAAAATAATACATTACCTTGCTAAGTGTTTTTAATGTTGAACTAGCAGCATTTCTTACTGTTTCCTAAAATGTAGTAAACTAATATAAACATTTTTAGAGTACATAAAAATTTAAGGAAAGAAAAAGTGTGTATTAACTCAAATTTACTACCTTTCCTTTAAAATATGAAACACTTCAAAAATAACAGTATTTTTGGTTTAACCAGAAAAAATACAAGAATGAAAAAAAGTAAAAATATGGGATGATTGTAATTAATTAAAGTACCCCTATTCAACATTGTATAGAAAGTTATTTAGCAGTCTAAATGCAATCAAATCTGGTCTAATGACATTTCAGGACATGTAGATATAGAAGACATTTGTTACAAAAAATTAACACCAAAATGCCTACTATGGCACTTTTGGTGCTGCAAGCAATAAATAGTAGTTTACTTTGCATGAGCATGTGTTGCAGACAAAATCTGAGGATAAAAGTGGCCATATTATTGCATATCATTTTTATCAGCCATGATCATCATCACTATGCTGGAACACACATTTTGTGTGAAGCTGTTCTATGAAAATAACAGCAATGCTAAGGATGCACTTTAGAAATCTCACTAATAATTAAAATTTCATATTCTAATTATTAAAACTTTCTATAAGATGATAATTTGCACAATACAGTTATCAAATTTTTATTTTAATTAGTTAAAGTTACAACAATAAATATGGCTGCTTTTAGATGTCATTTAAATATTTTAATTTTAACAGTATTTGGTTTAAATATAATTATTATGAAAAAAGTCAACTTACTATTTATTGTATAATTGTCAATCATAAAATAGAAATAATATTAAACAGTTAATCAGATATATCACAATAACTTACCTTAATATCATCTCTAAGACGAAAACATTTTTCCCATAAATCAGGAAAATAATCAATAATCTTTTCTACATCTCTTCCTCGTAATAAATCCGACAATGCTAAACAACTGCAATAGATTAATTAATTTATTTCATAAAATCATTTCATTACTCATTACACTGTAAAAAATTAAAATGTTGATAAATAAAGTATGCAAAATATAAATTCTAATTATAAGATGCTCAAACTCAGAAATAAAATTTCCTGAGGGTTTTAAGCTTCTGAAGAGATTTTTTATTTTTAATAGTTTCAAAAATAATGTTTTGATAACAAAAAATTGCCAGACATTTCTCTAAAATAATGTCTAACACACACAAATATGAGTTTTGTATGCATTCAATTGATAAATTCAATATAAGAGAATACATATACTAAATCTTATATATAACTCTAGCTACAAAAAAACATACTAGAAATGTTTGGAATCTAGCCTGTTATGATTTTTAAATAAAAATTTGCAAAGTCAATGTGGGCAATTTTGTAGATTGACTACATTTACTTTCTTCCATGATAATTAAACAATTTCTATTATATCATAAAAATTAGAACAAAATCATAAATCTGAATTTTATTCAAATCAGTTCTGAATTTTCCTCAATCTTTGTAACAAACTGAAATTTTTCTTATATCTGTATGTGATAAACTGTTCTATGATGAAATTAATCTGAGCACCAGAAACCTTGGTTTGATGAGATTTCATTGTTTTTATATTGGAATACTTTTCATTTACAAATCAAAAGCAAAAAAACTTATCTCATGCTACCATCCTATTTATTACTTAATAATTCAGATAACATAATACTATTCCACTTTATTTTTGTTATATTTTTAATAATAAGAAATTATTCTTAAGAGTTCATATAAGAAAGACATAATTACTTAAGAGTTCATATTATTCACTTTTTAACTGATTAATAAATTGTAATCCTGAATACTGAGAAAACTAACTCTCTTTTCAGATGGAGAACTTTTGCAACTAACTATATTTACTCTTGAATAAAAAATTATATAATATACTGTATAAAATTGATTAAAATATTAGAAATTTCTACTATTTCAAAATTCATTAAAAATTTAATTTTACCAAATATCTTTGAAAATATCATATTAATCTGTAATTAACAATAGAATTAAATAATATATTTTACAAATTATATAATACTCTAAAAAATTTTAATGTATACTTATGTATTGGGAACCCTCTGACCTAAACCTTGGTCACCCATTCATCATATTATTAATCAACAACATTTCATACAAGAAAAAAAATTCAACTTTAAAAATAGTATATTTTTATTGTTAAACAAGAATAGACATCAATTGAAGTACAGCCAATTAAACAATTGTGATATATTATTGCCCTTAACATTGGAAAAAGAGGTGTCTACTGATCTATTAGACCCCCCACCGATAATGTACAGTACATAGTATGTATATTTGCTATATCTTAACTAATAGCAATACAGTGGTACCTCAGGATACGAAATTAATCCGTTCCGAAACTGAGATCGTATCATGAAAATGTTGTAAGGTGGATCATCTTTTCCCATACGATTACATCTAAAACCAAATAATTCGTTCCACCGCGAAAAACATACTTAAATTAAAGCCAAGTAATACATTTAAAAAAATAACTGTAGTAAGAAAAACAAATGAAAAATGCAAACTAATGTAACGTCGTATGGTGAGTTTTTGTTCGTATCGTGGAGCAAAAATATGTTCGAATTTCATGTCGTATCCTGAAAATTTCGTATGCTGGGGCGTTCGTAACCTGAGGTACCACTGTACTGGCAAAAAAAATAAAAGGTAGAAAATGCCACTTTATTATGGATACTGTAGGTGTGAATAAAAGACAGGGTAATAAACAATATAGTAATTTTAAACAGGTTGATGCTAGAAATAAAATAATTTGTAGTTAGGTACAACACAAGAAGTTTTTCCAATTTGATTAAATAAATCCTGGGTAATGCTATTAATATTTTTCAACAACATCCTGTTTAAAACTTTTAAAAAAATATTTATAGTTTAAAAAAATAATAATATTTTTTTAAACATTTTCAATTTACCATGATTCTCTAATTCTCCACTGTGGACTTGTAAGATTATAATCAATATCTTTTATTATTTCTTCTAAATACTGATCAATCTGAAAAATATCAAAACAATTCATTAAATATAATAATTTAACATTGTTATATAAGTTTGAGTATTTCATCTATTGTAGTTAAATAAGTACAGTAATTATTGTAATTAATTAATAAATTATTATTAACTAATTATTATTAATTAACATAATTTATTAAATTAAGCAAGTTAATATAAAATAAATCTGTTTTTATGTTTCAAGATATAATTATATATTAATGATTTCAACAGATCTAAATTTTATTTAAAAGAAAGCATTAAAATTCCAATTGCCTTTTAACAATGATAAAGGAAGGAATGACTGCATTTTTAACAAAGTTTATAAATTTAGTCATTCCTTCCTTTAAATACATAAAAATATTTAATTTATTCAAAACTTTATAAAATGTTTTAAAAATATAAAATTTCCAAATCATATAATAAAGTTAACAACTAATTTCTAAAAATATTCTGATTAATACTGATAATTTTGTAGTTATTGTAAAAATTCATATTGTTAATCTGCAGCTTGAATCAAACACTAATGTATTTTAATGACTAAAACTGATTTAATGTACATAGATCACTAATTTTAAACACAAATGGTTACATGTTCATACTTTTTTTTTTACTAGTTTAGTTTTTATGCATGTGACTTTTATAAAAATTTTGATGTTCAAAAAGAAAATTGCAATTTAGATTAAAATATTTAATTTGTAGAGTAGTTTGATAAATGTAATAATAAAAACACAATTCTATTTCATAAACAGAATAATAAGAATTAATTCAATTGGATAAATTCTTATTTAATTTTAAGCATGTGTAATATTAGAAAAACCTATTTCAGGTTCATTACTGATTTTCTGGTATCTCTTTTAATCTGGATAGAATTATGAGATGATGCTTAAAATTCCCACAACTGTCAGACTTATCTAATGAATGGCCAATAATGGTATTGCAATAGCATGTGCTCACTTGAATTCTCTACATTTCAGCTGATGATCATTTTACTTTATATTAAACCATAACTAAGATTTATAAAAAAATATGCAAATGTCATTAGATGAATTAGATGGAAAATGAATAATTAGTGATCCATGATGCACTGTTAAGTTATTATTGAGTGACCTTAGTTGTAGTAGAAAAACAATCAATCTAATGAGGTTTTGGAATGACAGAAAATCAGTAGTTGACTAGTATTTTAAAATAAGATAAAAAGATAATTTATGATTTTTAACAAATATGTCTAATTAAAATTGTCTTTTCAAATTAGAAAGTTATATTTGCATAGATAAGTTTAAATACTATCTTCTGGCATTAGTGTTAAAAGTAAGAATAAAAATAATTAAATTTTAAAATTAGTTTTTAATATTTAAAATATCATCAAAAATACAGAAATGCTGAAAATAGAATGTCCACAAACAGAATATTTAAAATACAAACTGCAAGTAATGATATAATTCTTATATCTCATTTTCCAATAGTTATGGCTTTGTATCTGCTATGCAGACACATTATTTACTGTTTAGAAATAATTATTTAAAAAATCAATGGTTTAATTAAAACTATCTCTGGTATTATTGAAATATATGACAAAATGTTGGAAGTACATGTAAAAACAAAAAATATATATATACAGTGGGTGATCGGTTAACAAACATAATCTGTTCCAAGACTTTGTTCGCTATCTGAATTGTTTGTTAACTGATTATGGATTTACCATAGGTTTTTATGAAAATTTGATTAATTCATTCTGGAGACCCCAAAAAATAAAAGAATATATACTTTCTTACTACATTCATTTATATGTAATAATAAAAATACATATATACACAGTCTTGCATTTTTATTAGTCATTTTTTTCTGTTTGTGAGGGTTAAAGAATCTGTCTAATGTCAATTGCTTTTCTCTCTTTTTCAAGATTTTTCAGAAGTAATTAATAGCATTTTAATTGTAGAGATCCCTAAGCCTATTAACCTCAACCTGGTTTGGATGCCATTCTAAGATCGTTGTTCTGACATCATCCCACTACTTCAAAAAAAGATTTAATAGCAGATATTGACATTAATTCTCTTTTTCAGAAGAAAACATATCTCACTGAATTTCTTGGTATTCTTTATTCAAGAGTTCTTGGCACTCTTCAATGTTCTTTATTTCTCAGATGTGATTTTTGTTACTCCTTACTGCTTGAGTCTTCTTGATAATACAGTATCTTTCTTAGATAAGATTGAACTGCAGCCTACTGTAGACCTGTTCAAGCCATACTGCCCAGCAACAACAGACATCAGACATCTGCTCACTCTCTACCTTTGCTGTTACACTCTCACCTTTCGAAAATAAAAACCGACACAAAACTTAAAGTGCCCGCCTGACAGTCTCACGAATACTATAAAAAAATTGTTTGTGTCAGAAAAATAAAAGACTGGAATTATAAGGGAGAGTTTCAAAGTTCAGAGGAATACTATCTGACTATACGAGTTAAGTGTCAATGGTGACATCTCCCGCACTCCAAAAAGTTTCGAATTGTTGTCTGAAGACAAGGGAAGACCAATTCATTATTTTATGTCACTTCTTCTTGTGTTTGTTCTGTGAGGTGTTCGTTGCCTGCAGACATAAGTGTCCTAGGAAAATTCCTCCTGGACTATGGACTGGACATTAACTATGACTTGCACACCCATCATCCTGCCAATGACCCAGACCCCAACATCTGTCTCCATCAATCCACCATCCCACAAGGCATAAACTACTACACTGACGGATCCAAATCTCCAGAAGCTGTAGGCATGGCTGTTATCCTCGATGACCCAATGAAGAAAACCTTCTGGCAAGGTGCCTATAAGATGGATCCATCTTGCTCCATCAACCAAGCTGAGCCACTAGCCATCCTTAACATCCTTAGAAGTATCCAGGATAATATAACCAGTTACAACGGTAAAAACATTAACATCATCAGCAACAGTTGAGTCGCCCTTTACCAGATTCGTAAGCGTAACTGCTGCCTTCCCATAATCAACAACAGCTTAAATATCCTATACGAAATCTCAGATACAGTCAATATAAAATTTCACTGGATCAAGGGCCACTCAGGAAGCAATGGCAATGACAAGGCGGACAACCTAGCCAAAAAGGCCTCCTCTTTATCCACAGTGTGTAGCTACTCCTCGATTCCCCTGTCCTGGGTTCAAGGTAAGCTGGACTCAATTTTAATGTCCTGCTGGCAGAAGGAGTGGGATGAAAGCCTGACAGGGTCTCACCCACAACTTTTTCCCCAGTATCTCTCATAGGATCAGCAACCACCATTTTACTACCAATCACGTCATGACCCAAATTCTTACAACACATGGCAACTTCAGAGCCTACCTCTACAGGTTCTTGAGGAAGGGGAATGGTTTGTGCCTCTGTGATACTAACGAGAACGAAGATCCAATACACCTAATCTTCATCTGTCCGGTTCACTCACGCCACCATGCAAACCTTCATAGGACTATTGTGGAACGTGGATATCCTTGGTCATGCAAACTATATACCCTTATTGAGGACCAGATAATCTATCAAGAATTCAAGACCTTCGTGGAACACCTGAAACTTACGCACTATACTGCTACCAGCCTAAGTGGCATCTAATGGACAGCTCATCTTCTGAGTCAACAAGGACCCCTCCCAAAAAGGGTCTCCTTACTGCTTTTTTTTTTTCCAAGTCGACCTCATCTGACCAACTCCTCAAGGTATTTCGCTATCAGCCTTCTCCTTCCCTGTATATACAAATTGTTTTGCTCATGTATTCCATCGTATTTCCAAGTGCTATCCAACAGCTCCCCTTTGCAGCTCATGTCCTCCTTTTTCCACTTTCAAACCTCCAATCATCCCACCCTCCTAACTTTTCTTCAAATCACTCTCCTTCCTTCCTTCACCCATCTTTCTTATCTTTTAGGGCTACATCTTTGAGTACAGCCTTTTCTTTCACATGTATGTGAGGTGTTTGTTATCCAAATATAAAAATCTTTCACTAAAGTGTTCGTTAACCAATCACCCACTGTATATAGTTTTTAAGTTAGTGAACTAGTATTAATTCAGTATGTTAAGACATTAATAACAGTTAATTTTTGTTTTTTTCCATGTTTTTGGCTTATTGTTGTAGGTTTTTATTTTTAGTGTCTTAAATATATTTACTTATACAATTAAATATATGAAATTATTATTGTTATAATAAAATAAACATAAAAATGATTTAAGATCATACTGTTAAAATGTAATAATTCTAACACGGTGACTGCCTTACAACTCATAGTTGGCAATCTGATACTGAAAGACATCTAAGAATTATATAATAAAATGCAGCCTAATCTTTAGTGCCAGAAATTAGTATATTTTAACAAATAAACATAAGTAATAGATAGTTATCATCTGAAATAAGACTGAAAAATACCACCAGATAACAAAATATTTATTCACAGAAAAATAATAAAAACTAACTAAAACAGTGTCATTAAAATTCATGGAAAAAATGTATTTGATAAATTTTGTTGATAAACTTTTCCTTACAAAGAGCTAGTTTATCTTGGCACATTAAGCAATAATACCATTTTTCAAAGCATTGTATGAGTCCAACTGGAGATTAGTTTGAAAACCTACAAAACATTGTTTTCATGACATTTTTTATCATTTGTAAGTACTCAACACAGCTTGATCAGACATATGAGGAAAGTCCGATATTAAAGGTACAGGCTTACTGAAAAAATTTTTCATATGCCAATTACAATAAAACTCAGATTTTTGGCAAAAATAAGAATCCTATTGCAAATTTGGTTGAAAAATAAATGTTATAAATTATGCAATGTATACAATAATACATCTAATTGAGAACACATTGGCAATCATTTCATCCAATGTAGATACTATGATAGTCAACATTGTAGAATAGTTTTCAGAATGTTAAAAAAATAAATAAATTTTAGATAACTGTAAAAATAATGATATAAAAACTATTGTTATTTCTATAAATTGACATTACTAAACATAAGTTGTTGCAATAGCTATAATAAGCAAAGAGTCTAAACCAGCGTTTCTCAAAGTGGGCGATAACGCCCCCTTGTGGGCGCTGGAGGCTTTCAGGGGGGCAGTAGAAGGCTCAAAGAGAATTGGGGGGCGTTAAGGAAATATAGAGGGGCGACGACAGACAAATTCTATATATAAAAATTCGACGGAATATATATAAAATGTTGACATTTTTATATATTTTTTATTTTTTATTGAAGGTCACAACTTGAATATTTCTAACACATTGACTTTTATTTTAGCTCAGCGTTTCTCAAAGTAAGCAATAACGCCCCCCATCTGGCGCGATGAATAGATCTATGATAGAGGCAGGGTATTGAACGGTGACCAAAGGCAAAATTGGGGCTGATAAGAGAAACATTGGGTTTAATGGTTTCCAGATGATGAGAACAATGTACAGTAAGGGCACAAAGTGTGAGATTCATAGAAAAGTTTTCCTAAGAATATTTCCAATCCTTTTCTCACACAAGAGAAAATGGGGGCATTGGGTATAACTTTATGGAACAAAGGGGGCGGTGGATCGAAAAAGTTTGAGAATCACTGGTCTAAACTAAGTCTTGAGAACAAAAAATAGTCTGAAAATTTTTAGTGTTTTTGAAATAACACATCATCATTTTAAGAATTTAAAGATATAAAAATATAGTTATGTATAATTTAGTTTTTAATATTATCAATATAATGATACCGTGTTATATATAGAACAAATCAATGTTATTTCTATAAAAAAAATCCAGCAACAAATTGTTTAACTTTCTTGACAACATCTAAACTGCATGTGTAATGCCATCTATTATAATATTTTATTATTAAAAACTTTTTATATTTTTAATTATTATAAAATGGCTTAATTTTCAGGGTAGGGATGAGTTTTATAAAAAACCTATAAATTCTAATAACGAGTAAAATCTTCATTAAGTCTGACCCTACTTGAGATATGACACACAACCCCCTTGACCTTTAACCAGTAAAATTTAATAGTATCAATTCTCCTAATGCTCAAACCTCCCTGCAAAATTTTAGAAATTTTCCGCAAAAAGCACAAGAGTTATTAAGCTTCGAAGAGTGTTAACAAAATCATGCCCCCCCACACAGACTAACATCTATACACACAAAAAAACACCCAAATTTTTTTGCATTTTACTTTTCAAGGTCCTGAGTCCAAAAATATAAAAATCTTAGGGTGTCATTTTTGACCAATTGCCATGCTTTCTCTTTGTCATATATAACAGCCAGGAAAGTAATGAAATATTTCTCAAATGAAATGTGCTTATATTTACAGATTCTGTAATACAAATAGATTTATAATTAGTATATATTTGGAAATTAAAAGATTCATCAATCTAAATGTCTATTATGAGTAATTGAATTTCAAGAGTTCTATGGAATTCTTCCTGATTTCAGCTGTATTTTGGAAGCTTAGTGATATCTTAACAGAATGTAAAATTATATTAAGCTTTTATAATAATTTATAATAATAAACAGAGAATTTTGATTTAACATTTTACAAAAATATTTAGTTATTAAATTATTAATTTTTTATAATAAAATATATTATTATTACTTACTACTTTTTGTTCATCAGGTACAACTGCATGCCATATTGAAACAAATGACAAGCGTACACTACTATTTGGATCAAATTGATATCGATACAATTTAGGAACAATAATTGGTAAATATTCTTTAAGCTGACTTTTAGCTTGCTGAGCAATAATTCCAAATCCAAATGCAGCTCCCTGTAAAATATTAATTAAATCTAAATTTTAATTTAACATTTCATTTCTACACCAGTTAATTTACATTTTTATTATATATTTGTTTAAGAAAATTATTTTTTTGTAAAGCAGGAAAATATTTATAAATATTTATAAAGTCTAAATTTCTATAAAAACAACAAATTATGTGTAGTTTGAGGTAATTCCCAAAATTATTTAATTTATAAACAAATTATTCAAAAGAATGAAAATTTAAATCTCAATTGCAGTTAAACTGCAATTGAGATTTAAATTTTCTGATAAAGTGATTAGAGGGATGTGTTATTGTTGCCGATGGTGTTGGCGTGTTTTTTTGTAGAGTGTATTGAGTCAAAGTGGTTGGTCTTGTTAATACTTGGCATGTTATTATTGGAGAAGTGGAGGTTTATTAATAGATTAACCTTGGTTTTGATTGTGTTCTTGTTATTTATGGCCAGAATTGAGTAAAACCCAGGGCCATTAATCCATTTGCCACAATAATTTGGCCAGTTGGATATGCAAAGAAGAAGCATGGCAGGCCGCATAAAGATAATTCCAAAGTACTTGACAAAGTTAATCAACTAGAGGAAATATTAGGTGAAGATTTCGAGCAAGCTGAGCAAGAATTTAGTAAATCTAATTCAAGTGATGTGAGAAATACAAAAATACAAGACTATTTTGCATCGGTTTGAGAAACGGATTTACAAATACTAGAAGAACCTCAGTGCTCCTTAAAATTGATTTATGAGTTAATTCGGGATAAATTTTCCCAGTTGAACGTGGAATTACAAGCAATCAAAACAGAAGTTAATTATTTGAAACAAGCAAATAAGGTTAGCCAACTGGAAACCACAAAAATTACTCAAAAACTAGAAGAAATGGAGTTAATAACCAAAGAAAATTGTCAGATTAATTAAAGGTATGTTAGAATTTGATCAATATCAAGATCAAATTCTAACATACCTTTAATCTGACAATTTTCTTTGGTTATTAACTGAAAGAACTAATAAAAATATTGTAATTATAAATTTTTCATTCAAATCTACAGAATATTTAAAAGAATTAGAACAATTTATTAACATAGATCTAGGTATATTAAATAGCTCCATAGAAAGTTTAGTCATGTTATCTGATAATAATGTTAATCCTATGGTGAAAATTATGTTCGATTCTGTGCAAGATAGAAATATAAGTCTTAAAGAATTCTGGGCAAAGAAAGCTAATTTTAATATAGATAAAAGGAAAAAAATTATTTTTTCAGCTGATCTGTGTAAAAGATCTAGGATAAGAAGGAAAAAATTGTAGGCTCATCAAGAAAAGGCTAAGGGAAATACAATAAAAGTTAGAGATGTTTGTTATATCTGTGGAAACAATGTTTATACATATGATGTTAATCTAGATAAAATTATCCAATTAAAAGATTTTTTAGGAACAAACTAAATTGAATACCAGCTATGACTTCAAAAATTCCTTTTGATATTATGGGTTCTATTGATATACATAATAATTTAATAAGAAAAGTAGAAGAGGATAACAATCAAAATTGCAATATACAGTGACCTATAGTAACTAATGCTAACTCAGTTGAATTTCCTAATTTGAGTTTAGCAACCATAGGCGACAAGTTTAAAGTTTTAATTAGGTTTTGGAATATTCAAGGGCTACAGGCAAAAATACACAAAAATACCTTTTGTGAATTCATATTAGTTAATTACATCATTGATCTTACAGAAACTTGGATCACTAATTTGAAAACAGAAGATAAAGAATATTTGAAACAACAATTTATAGTAATAGAAAGCAAAGCAGAGAACAAGTAAATTTGGTCGCCCTTCTGGTGGATTATTGCTTTTCATAAGAAATCATCTAGGTGAGTTGAAATCATGTAAAATAGAAGATAAATATACATTTGTAGAAATAAAACTTATACAGTCTTTTAGAACTGTTTGGGGAGAATCACAATTGGGTGTTATACTCATTTACTTCTCACCAACAACAGACAGAAAAACTAAATTATATGAAATTCAAAATATTATGACTCAGAAATTGAACATTATTAATTTTTGATTTATAGGTGGTGATGTAAATGCTCAAATAGGTGAAGAAATGGACACAAAATATAAAAGTAGTAACATACTAATGAATAATGTTAGAAAATCCAAGGATAAAACAACTAATCAGAAGGTTTAATATTACTCAATTTTGTGCAAGCCAAATGATCTTTATATCCTGAATGGTAGATTAAATGGCGATTGTCCTGCTGAATACACTTATATATCCCATTTCAGTAAATCTATAATTGATTATGTTATTTGTTCAGATTTTGTTTTAGATGTCTGCAAAAAGTTAAGTGTTTTGAAGATTGATGAGTCTGATCATTTTCCGGTGCAGTTAGAACTTAGTGGAACTTTAGAGGTTGATGAAAAACTACAGAGATTCAAACAAGGTCAAAAACTGAGATATGAAATTGAATGACATTTAAATATGATTAAATTTAAGAATGAAATCGATAACAAAGTTTGAGACATTTTAGATCTAGAGCATACTAACATACCCACAGAAAATTATGATAACCTAATAAGGTTAATTCATTCATATTGATTTAATAGTTGTACAAAGAAGTATAAAATAAATTACAAACAATGTTGGTTTGATAATAGTTGTTATTATTGCAAGATTAAAAAATAGCAGAGCCTACAAAAATTCAGAAATACGAATACTGATCAAGCTCTGAAGCTGTATTTAGACAACAAGAAAATTTACTCAAATTTTTGTGAAAAAGAGGAAATATTTTTCAGAAATGAGCGATCTGTTGACGAAAATAGAAGACACAAAAAAATTTCTGGAACGTCATAAATAAATTTCGAAAAACTCCAATATATAAAGACATTAATTGTCCAATGTCATTTAGCAGCTGGAGTCAATATTTTAAGGATTTCTCTAATACATATAAAAATAATAATAAAAGGATTACTGTTGAACTGAATTCACATTCAAATCAACCATATGAAGAAGTTTTTAGTGTGGAAGGTCTAAATAGTTGTATTAATTTAATTTAAAAAAGTAAAAGAAAAAACTGCCCCTGGTTTTGATATAATTACCACTTATATAATTAAAAATCTACCAACAGATATTATAAAGTTTTTGGTTAGGCAATTTAATGGATTTTATAATTTAGGTGTAATCCCTAGAGATAGGAATATTGTAATATTTGATATGTTATTTAAGAAAGGTGAAAGGAATCTACCAACAAATTACCGACCTATTGCTCGCCTGTCTGGGTTTCATAAAGTTTTTACATCTGTTTTAATGCAAAAATTCATCAACTGGGTTGACAGAAATAATTATAGGAATGAAACACAGTTTGCATTTATACGAAATGGAGGTACACAAATGGCCCTTTTTACTCTAATTGCACTAGTACAATTGCAATTATGTATACAAAAACTCACTACTCACCACACCTATATATCAAACACAAACACTGAACCAATTTACGGTGTGGAACGATCGACTAAACATAAAAAACAAACGTTTTCGAACCCCTTCTGGGCTCTTCATCAGGTTTTAGCTCGTAAATCCGATTGACGAATGTTGTTCCAATAATTTCGTTCCTGCGATCGAATAGTTCTTTTAAAATTCGATGTCGCGCATGCCGTTCGAATTTAACGAATGTCGTTAACGGAAGCCATTAACAAGTGATGTTCAAATAAGATCGTTCTTGAGTTCGAACAGTGCTATAAAATTATCCGATGCGCATGCGTGACATGTCCGCCTTCTCAGTTATAACGAGCGGTTAAAGCGTGCTATGTATCAACTCTTGCCAGGCCAACGACAAAAGCATCTCCTCTTTAAAATTTATGCACGTGGTTTCGATAGAGGATTTAAAGATGTGCATCGCCTCTAACCATTTGAGATGATCATTGGGAGGCGCACCAAGGAGGAGATTGGCCCTAGTAAAGTCAGCAACTATGCCCGGGTCTGTTGCGTATGTTGCGAGGGCCGTGCTGGTTCTTCCGTGACGAATGTCTGCCTGATGTTCCTGCATTCTGACACCTATGGATCTTTTAGTAGAGCCTATATATACTAAGTCCTTATTGAATCTATTATCTCTCAAAGGGACACTATAGACTCCCGGTCTTCTGTTGGAGTTAGGAGGGTCCTTCCCATTCGTTAAGATGTTAAAAATAGTAGGACACCTCCTGTAAGCAATACTTATTTGGCGCTTCTTGGCGATCCTATCGTATATAGCTCTTACATATGGGTTAAAGGTGACGGGTATCCGTTCTATGTCTTCCGGATCTTCTGATCTCTCATTGTGCCTGTCTACCGACCTTTCGTTAACTGCATACATCCAGCTATAATTCTTTATCATCTTACGTTTGGCTTTGCGATAACCATGTTCCGCGGCTACTCGCATTATATACGCTAGCTCTTTATCACGAGCCTGTATGTTAGAAGAATGTGTGAAGGCTCTTCTGATTATTATTATTTTTTGGGAAAATGTGCCTGACATAACAACCTTAGTAGACGCTTTTAATAATAACCCATATGGGTTGACGCTTGAATTGGAACAATCTGACACCACTGAGGTCCATTTCCTGGATATAAGTATTAGGTTAGAGAAAGATGGCATCCACACTGCGGTGTATCATAAACCAGGCTCTAAGTCTTCGTACATCCCGGTAGGATCTGGCGATCTGGTACCCTACAAGACTGCGGCATATAAAGCCTTAATCAGAAGAGCCTTCACACATTCTTCTAACATACAGGCTCGTGATAAAGAGCTAGCGTATATAATGCGAGTAGCCGCGGAACGTGGTTATCGCAAAGCCAAACGTAAGATGATAAAGAATTATAGCCGGATGTATGCAGTTAACGAAAGGTTGGTAGACAGGCACAATGAGAGATCAGAAGATCCGGAAGACATAGAACGGATACCCGTCACCTTTAACCCATATGTAAGAGCTATATACGATAGGATCGCCAAGAAGCGCCAAATA